ACTGTGCTAATACACACACATTAGGGATGGGCGCGATTAATCGAATATCCAAACGCATGTTAGTATTCAATTACTTGCGAGAGTATTCATTCTTTAGGAAAAACAAGGCAACAGTAAACATGTCGTCCCCCACGAATGATGAAGCCCCCCCCCCCCCCTCCCCCATGCTAACAATTAAATGTTAAATACCGTAGCGAATGCTAGCTAAATGCTAATGAGCACATGCAAACATAAACTATTTGCAGAACATACATCCCAACTCATGAAGTTATAAAAGTAACAAAAAAATGCTACTCACAGTTTGCTGCACGCACAAAACAAATGTTAGACAGCAAGGCTCTTGATCCAGGAGGGGATTCTCTGCTTTACTAAGAGAAGCTTGATTTTGCAAGATGCTAACCACTTAGCTAGCTAGATAACTAGCTACTAATTTAGCAAACCAAATGCACAACTGCAGAGCATTTAGCACATTTTAGACAGTTAACTTAATAGTTCCAGTGAGCTAGCTCCAAAAGTATTGGGACAGTGACACATTTTTTTTGTTTTGGCTCTGTACACCAGCACTGTGGATTTGAAATGATACAATGACTATGAGGTCAAAGTGCAGACTGTCAGCTTTAATTTGAGGGTATTTTAATCCATATCGGGTGTTACAGACGCACAAATATCATACCCCGAAGACATGCTAACTTCTGACCATTTCATTAACAGGGGACTTTAGCATTCTTGGGGGGGGGTATGATATTTGTGTGTCCGTAACGTTCTCACTCATCATTATTCACGATTGAGCATTATCCGTAATCATTCTAGCATCCACATTAATGTAGAAGTGTTTAGAAACATATTCTATTCTTATTTACAATAAAGGTGACTCCAATACATTATGTCCCATTCAGTTCTATTGGGCACAAAATAATCTGAAACACAACCAAAACAAACAGCAAATGCATCCAACAAGTTTGTACAGTCACAAGCTTGATGTAATTATTGCGTGCTATGAATATAGGACCAAATGCTAAACTTTTTACTACTTTAATACACATATAAGTGAATTTGTCCCAATACTTTTGGTCTCCTAAAATGGGGGGACTATGTACAAAAAGTGCTTTAATTTCTAAACGGTTCACACAATATGGATGAAAATACTCTCAAATTAAAAATTAAAGCTGACGGTCTGCACTTTAACTTCGTAGTCATTGTATCATTTCAAATCCAAAGTGCTGGAGTACAGAGTAAAAACAAAACAAAAAATGTCACTGTCCCAATACTTTTGGAGCTCACTGTATAAGATATCTAGCTGGCAAACATTTAGTTGTCAATTCCATACTATAGGTAGATCACCTGGTGCGTACTGCACAACAGTGAGTGACTCAAGGCTCCAGTCTATTGTCATTGTGTGCTTGTAAACAAACGTGTGACTGGGGACTACCGGTAAGCTTTATAATAAAAAGTAATGTGACAGGTGAAATGCTTTACCTCCTAACGTATTGTACAGGTATTTACTTAAAAAGTAGCTACAAATATTCACATTTATAAAAATAAAAGCTTCAAAGAAATTGTTTCAATGGTATTCATGGTATTGAAAAAGCATGCCGTGGCTACTTCCAAATACCTCGGTAAACAGTACACCTTCCAAGCCTACAACTGAGGATTCCCCATAGAACCGATAATAGAAATGTCCCAGTGATTTGATTTGCATACACTTAATATTCATCTGCATTGCATTGAAATGATGTAGCGTGGCTAAAGAGACATCTTCTGATTCAAGCGTTTTTGAGGCAAAGAATGGGTGATGTTGGTTGGTCAGGCAAGGTTATTTGCTTGAGTATTTAGTTTTATAGGCTACAACCATGGTCAGTGATGGCTCTTTCTTTAGAGAAGGTTAATATATCAGACATGGGTCACATTAGCCTGGTCCCAGATCTGTTTGTGCTGTCTTTCCAACTCCATTCCTGTCATTGTCACGTGGCACAAACAGATCTGGGACCATGAAGATAAAGAGAAAAGCTACCCTATGAGCACAAGAAAGACGTATTTTCAACATCTTGTGCTCACTGGATATGTCACTAGGGCTGTGGAGACGGTAATTGTCAAGCAAATAACTGCAGGTCTCACGGTAATTGACCGTAATTAGCATAAACACGTTTAGCATCTCCTTACTTCCACGCATAGCCTACAAGCCACTGATGCAGACCTTTGGAACATCTACATTTTAAAAAGTTGAATAAATCCATTTACTATAGCCTACACCATCACAGTAAATCCATTATTTTATAGTATGCAGAATACAATTGAACATAGCTTAATAAAATAGAAAGGATATTTTCTCCAAACGATTTCAAAGGAAGTGCGCACATGCGGCTATTCTGTGTTGAGCGGTTAACAAAGAAACTGGTCCTCCTATATGCTTAATTTAGAGTTATTTATGCAACTTTAGTTGTGATAAAAACGTTTAGCTATATGTTTTGATGTTTAATACATTTTAAGGACTCTGATGATTTGAAAAAAGTCGCAGGCTGCACACACTTCATCAGTCTCTCATTCACAATTTGACAAGCACTTGATAATATTCTCACCAGGCATCCCGCTTGTGTGGCCATAATGGCTCCTAAAAAATCCATGCCTTTTGCGGCCAAAGTGGCCGTTTTGCCCTTGGGCTGAATATAATAGGCTAATTATAATTCCCTTCTCCTGGCTGCTGTGCTCCGAAGCACCTCTCACTCACAAGGCTCTCTCAGATGTAGCCAATGCCCTTCACGTGATCGGGTCCTTCTCACAGGCATTTCAGCTAAGAAGTAGGCTACAAGGGAATGAAGACAGACACATCGGGGACGCAACTGCGCGCGTCCCTCTTATCGAATTCCGAGGCACGTATTGAAGATGTTAGAACTGTCTACATTTACTTTTCGTCAGCCAACAAGATGAGTAGGCCTAACGAACAGCAATAGCACTAGCCTATGTCAATCTACTATCCCCCATAGTACAAAAGTTGACCTATTATATTCTGTGCGATAAATAAATATTCCAAACATACTCTGCAACAGTTGTAGGATGTTATAGATCACAAATTAATAAAACCACTCGCATCAAAAAAAAAAAAGTTTAAAACAATGAGGCTGATCGTTTAGCTGAAAATGTTGAATGCGTACACGGCAGTAGGCTATAAGCGCGATTGTTCCAAAATGCAATCAATTAGCGGGAAAACACTGTTCTCGGAAGTGATGGCAAATGCGATTATGCATGTATTGCTTTATTATAAAGGTGCATTTTTATAGTGAAAATGATCTTCCTCAAACTTGAAACTCGCATCCTATGTATGCCAGTTTGGCTCTATACCGGTTATAAAGCGGATTAATGTGCTTAATTTTAAGAAGTTATTTTTCCACTTTAGTTGTGATACAAACCTTATCAAAACATATAGGCCTATGGGCTAGGATACATGAGGTGTCCGACTAAGTCGCAAAAAAAAGGTATGTGCTGTTTCTTGCCTTAAGCTGGGCATCATTCACAAGTGATAGACTAATATTGTCACCCATCAGACTATTCTTAATTTAATGTTGTCTTTACATATACTAAATAATATATGTGTGATATTAGTTTTGATTTAGGATGGACCATTGTCATGCAACTCTGTTTTCTCCCGCAATTGCATAGCCTATAGAAATGTTGCGCAACATGAGCTCAGGGGCACTCATGAAGTGTTTGATTCGATTACATTTGCATTCATGTCAGAGTGATTAGAGGGACAATAGAGTGCTGAGTACCAGGCAGTTAGCAAGTTTGGTAGGCTACCAATGACCATCAGCAGCATCAGAGCTTAGAGAAGCCTAATTACCGTGACTAAACGGTCACGTGGAATTTGACTGCCATCATGACTCATGACCACCGGTGTGGCGGTAATACGGTCACCGTAACAGCCCTATATGTCACATTAGGTTTTATTGAACAAACTGGAACATTATGATGGTGTGGGTTGTTTGATACCACTTCCACTCCCTGATGTGTGACAGAGTCAACACTAGATTGAATCTCTCCATCCCAGTCACTGAGTCTTGCTCTGAAAAATTATACAGCTGTTATCTCTGTCTGTCTGCCACGGTCTGGTGCTCTCTGTCTCTCTCTTTCTTTCTCTCTCGCACTCCCTCTTTCTCTTTCACTCACACACTCTCTCTCACGCTCTCTCTCTCGCACATACGCACACACAAGAACACACACACAAGCACATGCTTAAAGCAGAGCCTTTATCTCTCCCGCACAGACCACAAATAGTTTGTTCACAGGCAGGTAAGGTAAAGCGAGGTATGAGTACTGACTACTGAGCATATACGATAGTCTACGCTGCCACCTTCTAGTGGTTTGTCAGGACTACAGAAACAGGCAGAGAATTACATGCTGTTTTTTTGTGCCAGTTTAAAGTAAAGACTTGTGGGCTGATTTTCTTATCTGAAATTGTCCCAGTGGGGTAGTTGGTTGCTTGGAGGAAATTCAAAATGCATAACTGTACATAAATGCAATGTTTTCCCCAATAGCCTGCTTAGCCTCACAGGCATTCATTCAAAATGTGGTATTTTTGGGGAACTCTTCCCTCTAGTATTTTCTCCTCATTTCCTAGGAGTGCTAATAGCTGCTTTCTGTCCGTATTTATAAAGCGTCTCAAAGTAGGAGTGCTGATCAAGGATCAGATTCCCCATGTCTGTGTAATCATATTCAATATGATCTATAAAGCTCCTCTTTTAATTTTTTTTACAATACAAAACAAAACATCCACATAAAAATGACAACATACAGACGCACACAAACATCCACAACATCACCCCTGCCCAGACCCACCTGCTCACACCCCCATCTCCAGCACCGCATCACTTTACGCCACTTGGCATCAAACTGCACCATTTTGTTTCTCTCCGTCGTCCACGCACACTCAGCATTTAGATAATAAAGCATTTGTCCATCTAGATCAGAACTCCTAATAGCTTTATAAATACAGGCCCTGGAGTGAACACTGTCTCTTCCTCTGCAGGTGGATCAACTGTCTGATTACAGCCATCCAAAAACACAAGAAGTTCCACAAAGGGCCGCCGGACAGCGAAGAGGGTAGGAGAAGCTTTACATGAAATGTTGAGATTTAATTGGATGAAGATATTTTGTCACCATTTTCCATCTTACAGTCGTCCCTGACAGTAGCCAAATCAAAAAATACATTAGAGGCTGGTTTCCTGGCCTACTCCAGGACTAGAAAGTTTAAATGGAGATTCTCTATTGTGCATGATTTTGCTTATCTGTGTCTGGGTAACCATCCAAATGTGTTTTAAAAAGGAGAATAATATATAATAATAATTAAATAAAATAAAATGTTATAAAATGTTATGTCACATGCGCCGAATACAACAGGTGTAGGTAGACCTTACCATGAAATGCTTACTTACAAGCCCTTAACCAAAACTCTGTTTTCTTAAAACGGCATTGAAGAAAATATTTACTAAATAAACTAAAGTAAAAAAATTAAAGTAACACAATAAAATAACAATAATGAGGCTATATACAGGGGGTACCGGTACCAAGTCAATGTGCGGGGGTAAAGGTTAGTCAAGGTAATTTGTACATGTAGGTAGGGGTAAAGTGACTATGCATAGATAATAAACAGCGAGTAGCAGCAGTGTAAAAACAAAGGGGGGGGGGGGGGGGTCAATGTAAATAGTCTGGTTGGCCATTTGATTAATTGTTCAGCAGTCTTATGGCTTGGGGGTAGAAGCTGTTAAGGAGCATTTTGGACCTAGACTTGGGGCTCCAGTACCGCTTACCGTGCAGTAGCAGAGAGAACAGTCTATGACTTGGGTGACTGGAGTCATTGACAATTTTTTGGGCCTTCCTCTGACACTGCCTAGTATATAGGTCCTGGATGGCAGGAAGCTTGGCCCCAGTGATGTACTGGACCGTACGCCCTACCCTCTGTAGCGCCTTACGGTTGGATGCTGAGCAGTTGCCATACCAGGCAGTGATGCAACCGGTCAGGGTGCTGTCGATGGTGCAGCTGTATAACCTTTTGAGGATCTGGGGACCCATGCCAAATCTTTTCAGTCTCCTGAGGGGGAAAAGGCGTTGTCGTGCCCTCTTCACGACTTTCTTGGTGTGTTTGGACCATGATAGTTTGTTGGTGATGTGGACACCAAGGAACTTGAAACTCTCGACCCACTCCACTACAGCCCTGTCAATGTGAATGGGGGCGTGTTCGGCCCACCTTTTCCTGTAGTCCACAATCATCTCTTGCTCACGTTGAGGGAGAGGTTGTTGTCCTGGCACCACACTGCCAGGTCTCTGACCTCCTCCCTATAGGCTGTCTCATCGTTGTCAGTGATCTGTTATAATATATATATACCTTATAATATATATATATATATACATACAGTGCATTCGGAAAGTATTCAGACCCCTTGACTTTTTCCACATTTTGTTACGTTACAGACTTATTCTAAAATGGATTAAATAAAAATTTTCCCTCATTAATCTACAAACAATAGCCGATAATGACAAAGCGAAAACAGGTTTTTAGACATTTTTGCAAATGTATTAAAAATATAAAACCGATACATTATTTACATACAATACCAGTCAAAAGTTTGGACACACCTACTCATTCAAGGGTTTTTACTATTTTTTACATTGTAGAATAATAGTGAAGACATCAAAACTATGAAATAACACATGGAATCATGTAGTAACCAAAAAAGTGTTAAAAATATATATATATATTTGATATTCTTCAAATAGCCACCCTTTGCCTTGATGACAGCTTTGCACACTCTTGGCATTCTCTCAAGCAGCTTCATGAGATGCATTTCAGTTAACAGGTGTGCCTTCTTAAAAGTTAATTTGTGGAATTTCTTTCCTTCTTAATGCGTTTGAGCCAATCAGTTGTGTTGTGACAAGTTAGGGGGGGTATACAGAAGATAGCCCTATTTGATAAAAGACCAAGTCCATAGTATGGCAAGAACAGCTCAAATAAGCAAAGAGAAATGACAGTCCATCATATCTTTAAGACATGAAGGTCAGTCAATACGGAACATTTCAAGAAATTTGTGCAGTCGCAAAAACCATCAAGCGCTATGATGAAACTGGCTCTCATGAGGACCACCACAGGAATGGAAGACCCAGAGTTACCTCTGCTGCAGAGGATAAGTTCATTAGAGTTACCAGCCTCAGAAATTGCAGCCTAAATAAATGCTCAAGTCACACACACATCTCAACATCCATTGTTCAGAGGGGACTGTGTGAATCAGGCCTTCATGGTCGAATTGCTGCAAAGAAACCATTACTAAAGGACACCAATAAGAAGAAGAGACCTGCTTGGGCCAAGAAACACGAGCAATGGACATTAGATTGGTGGAAATTTGTCCTTTGGTCTGGAGTCCAAATTGGAGATGTTTGGTTCCAACCCCTGTGTCTTTGTGAGACGCGGTGTGTGTGAACGGATGATCTCCGCATGTGTAGTTCCCACCGTAAAGCATGGAGGAGGTCGTTTTATGGTGTGGGGGTGCTTTACTGGGGACACTGTCTGTGATTAGACCACTGCGCCACTCGGGAGTACAAGCACACAGCCAAGACAACGCAGGAGTGGCTTCGTGACAAGTCTCTGAATGTCCTTGAGTGGCCCAGCCAGAGCCGAACTTGAACCCAATCGAACATCTCTGGAGAGTCCTGAAAATAGCTGTGCAGCGACGCTCCCCATCCAACTTGACAGAGTTTGAGAGGATCTGCAGAGAAGAATGGGAAAACTCCCCAAATACAGGTGTGCCAAGCTTGTAGCATCATACCCAAGATGAATCTAGGCTGTAATCGCTGCCAAAGGTGCTTAAAAAAAAGTACAGAGGAAAGGGTCTGATATAATTTTTTCCATTTTTAATACTTTTGAAAAATATTTTTGTTTTGTCATTATGGGGTTTTGCATGTAGATTGATGAGGGGGGAAAAACAATTGAATACATTTTAGAATAAGGCTGTAATGTAACAAAATGTGGAAAAAGTCTAGGGGTCTGAATACTTTCCGAATGCACTGTATATATTAATAATAATAATATATGCCATTAAGCTGACATTTTCTATCCAAAGCCACTAACAGTCATGTGTGCATATTTATTTTCTTCGTAACAGTGTCGCAAGCGGGATCGAACCCACGACCCTTGCCGCTGTAAGCGCAATTCTCAGGACAACAGATCTGGACAAGTGGAAATAATAATGCTAAGGTTGATTTGTGTCTTTGTGGACAGAGTGTTACAGTGAGACAGAGTCAGAAGATGAGGGGTCTTCTCCTTCTCCACGCAGAAACAAGATCAACACGGTGATGAGAACCACACAAACACATGCAGTGTTTCTGTCTTTTTGTGTTTTGATGTCTGCCTTATTCTGCACCGTACACTATCCTTTTTTAATTGATTCTTTATTGCCACACTTGTCTCTTGTAACTTGCCAGGCCATCATCGTTCCGGTAAATAACAATTTGTTCTTAACCGACTCATGCCTAGTATAGAGCCCAGAGTTTTTTTCTCATCATATGACATGGTCAGGAAAAACTCCTGGCTCTAGTAATGCCGTAGAATAGAGGTCCAAGTCAGAAGTCTCCCTAGTCTGCAACACTTACCTGTTCTCTGTTGCTGCTCTCGTTCTCTCGTTCTCCCTCTCTCCCTCTCTCTCTCTCTCGTTCTCCCTCTCTCTCTCTCGCGCGTTCGCTCTCTCTCTCGTTCTCGCTCTCTCTCTCGCTCTCTCACTCTCTCTCGTGCTCGCTCTCGCTCTCGTTCTCGCTCTCTCACTCTCTCTCTCGCTCTCTCTCTCTCGCTCTCTCACTCTCTCTCGTTCTCGCTCTCTCTCGCTCTCTCTCTCTCGCTCTCCGTTCTCCTCTCTCTTCTCGCTCCCTCTCTCCTCTCTCTCGCTCCCTCTCTCTCTCGCTCCCTCTCTCTCCTCCCTCTCTCTCTCTCTCGCTCCCTCTCTCTCTCTCTCGCTCCCTCCCTCTCTCTCTCCCTCTCTCGCTCGCTCGCTCGCTCCCTCTCTCCCTCCCTCTCTCTCTCTCGCTCCCTTTTACCCTTTCCCACCTCTCTCCCTCTCTCTCCGTCCCTCCCTCCCTCCACTCATAAAAAAAGCAAGTGATGTTCCATACTAATCTAATGTGTTGTGTTTGATGGACACCAGAAAAGCCTCTCCAACACACTGCCTCGGGCCAGGAAGGACAAGGACAAGGACAAGGGCAAGGACAAGGACAAAGAGAAGAAGAACAAGATGCCGGTTCCTGCTCCACCCAAAGGGCGCAGCAGAAGCCCAGGTACTTTACAGTAGAGCACAGCACTTCTGTTTCACCACAAGATGGCAGAAGAGTCATATAGGCCTATAGGGGGGAGTCAATTAGCTGATGTTCCATTGATGGATACATTTTAATTTCTCCCAGATGGCTCCAATATTCTGGGGGCTTCGCCAACTTCATCATGTCTGTTTTCTTCCTGTCTCTCCCCAGTGTCTTCAAAATGTGCCACCAGCGATTCTATAATGTGTTTGTGTCTGGCTCCTTTATATGTCCTGATATCTAATCAGCCCCCCTCCTTCTCAATAAGTTATATTGGTGTGGAAAGCATGAAAAAAATACAATGCCAAAAGTGAGTTACAACAACAACATATTCTCTCTCTCTGTACATCTCTCTCTCTCTCTTCCCCCCTCTCTCTACCCCCAATCCCCCATCCCACCAGGAGCTTCGGAGGATGAGATGGGCGTGCTGTTCCACCGGCTGAAAGAGGACGGCGTGACCCTGATCGGCAGCGACCAGCTCACAACTCACGACCAATTCCGCAAGTCCTTCATCCGGCGCAACAAGAACCCGGTCATCAACGAGAAGGCCCACACGCTCCGCGCGCTGCAGAGCACCCTTAAGGTTTGGGTTGACCCTCAGAGCTCAGAGCCTCTTCAGCTAAGCAGTGTTCCATGGACGTGACCTACATCGCTACTTATGTGACCTCTTTTGTATAAGTGCCCTATATGGGGATTCTATCCACAAGTAGTCTCACCTTTGACCGATGGTATGCTCTTAATGGTGTTTTAATTTGTTCTCTTTCATACTCTTGAGCACTCTCTCCACGTAGTGTGACCTTCGACCTATGTTGTTTTCTAAATTGGGTCGTCTTTGAAAGAAGATCTCTTTCCACAAGTGGTTTTCCCCATGACCTAGAATGTTGTGAAACAGCAGGAGGTATGGCCCTGTCTGTGTGACTTGACCCGGGAAAAACTCCTGTCCCCAGGTCACGTAGCCAGGGAAAACTCCTGACCCTAGTTATAGTGTACGAATATGAACATTGAGTTTATTATATAATGCAACATTTTACAGTTTTACAGCGTCCATTGTGTCTACTTTATAAATCACTCTACTCAGGAAAGAGCTAGGAGACGAGGATGTTAGTTGGTCAATGTTGAAAATGTTAATTGTTAATGTGAATGACCATCTGTTCTGAATGTGCTTCTAGGATAAAGAGGCGGAGCTCCAACTCATTAACAAGGTTCTGGAGGACTCTGAGCTGACGTCACAAAAGTACCGCCAGTGGAAAGAACATAACGAAGACCTTCACCTGGTGATTGAGAAACTGGCCGTCCAACGGGCCAAAGCTGTAGCCAAGGCAAGGGCGGGGCATAAAGAGGACCAGGACACGCCCCGTGGACCGTCGCCCGTGGAGCAGGTCGCTGTGGAGACTGAGGGCGCGTGTGGACTGAGCCTTAGTGACGGGGAGATGCTGGTGGATGCGGAGCCGTCGTTGTCAAGCCCAGGGAAGAATGTGGGTTACTTGGATGTAGAGCCACAGTCGGAACACTCATCGACTGCGGAGAGCAGCACAGACAAACCCAACAGCACCACAGCAGACGGAGCTAGTCCAGCTAGCCCAGAGAATTACTTCTACATATGAGACCCCACTGGACTGATTTGATGATGGTTTTTCTAGTTTCCATCAGGGATTATTATGATAAGGGCCTGGAGTTTTTCCCAACCATATGACCTAAGCAGGAAAAACTAATGGCTCTGGTTACAGCTGTGATTCGATTCTGGTCAGGTCATGTGGTCAGGAAAAAGTGTGGGCCCTCAGGGTTTTTGCTCGGTTTTGAATTATTTTTGTCTGTATTGTTGATATAGGAAAGACTGGGTTTGTCTATCCAAACCTGAATTCAAGTTACGGTATTCATATAACAAAAAACTAACAATTTTGCCAAGTGTCATTCTGTTGATAGATATATACTGTATTCATGGGATGTTATGGTCTGTCTTAGTTTTCTACTGTTGCATTTAGATGTAAGATTTTAAAGGAGATTTTAAATGTACATATGATTTTTAAATATCATGCAACAAGATGTATTGGAGTTTAAAACTTAGATTGTATACATTCTTGCACAGAATAAGGTCCGATCTTGCCTCATGTACAACGTTATGAAAATTGTTATTATAGATCAAAGACAATGCTTGTGCGTACTTGCGTGTTTTCAGCTGGGTTTGTCCAATGCATCTTGAATACACTGAGGGTACAAAACAGGAACACCTTCCTACTATTGAGTTGCACACTTTTTTGCCCTCAGAACAGCCTCAATTCTTCGGCATGGACTCTACAAGGTGACGAAAGCTGGCCCATGTTGACTCCCAATTGACACACTCAAACCGGTGCGCCTGGCACCTACTACCATACCCCGTTTAAAGGCACTTCAATATTTTGCCTTGCCCATTCAGCCTCTGAATGGCACACACACAATCCATGTGTCAATTGTCTCAAGGCTTAAAAATCATTCTTTAACCTGTTTCCTCCCTTTAATCTACACTGATTAAAGTGTATTTAACAAGTGACATCAATAAGGGATCATAGTTTTCACCTGGATTCACCTGATCAGTCTATGTCCTAATGTTTTGTACACTCAGTGTAAATTGATTCAATATATTCTGATTGAGCAGTAGTGATCCTCACTGTTGACTGAGCAAGCGAACGCTGTAAAGAACAAATGATGAACGCATTAATTTGCTAAAAGTTTAATGTAGCCATTGTACTACACTCTTAGAAAAAAACGGGTTCCAAAAGGGTTATTTTGCTGTCTCCATAGGAGAACCCTTTTTAGTTCCAGGTAGAAATAACCCTTTTTGGTTTCAGGTAGAACTCTTTTGGGTTCCATGTAGAACCCTCTGTGGAAAGAGTCCAAAAAGAGTTCTACCTGGAACCAAAAAGGGTTCTTCAAAGGGTCAAATACCATCATCTTCAGTCCATCTACACGCACAGTAACTCTCCTCCAGTCCCCACTAACAGCTGACGTCGTACACATCTGTGTCCTGCTTGTTCTTCAGCTGTGAGCAGGAGGGACTTTGGGGCCGAATCTCGAAGCAGAGCAGCAGCGCCCCCCCCCCCCCCCCCCCCCCAGCACCTGTGCACATCCCCCCCACCCAGACTAAGGAGAGCGACCTGGCCGGGTGCAGAGTAAGCTGGGGGCAGCCTATGATGAGGTCTGTGTGGGGGTGTCTGCTCCAGCCAAGTATTCCCAAGCTGTGTGTGTTGTGATGATAAAACTGTCAATAAAAAGACAATATAATAATTGATGACATTTGTATTGAGATTTGTCTTGTGGAAACTGGGACTTTTGTTTTGCATTCACTGCTGAAGAAAGTGATGAGAAAAGTGTTGACAAAGTTGTGGGAGTACTTAATAAATGGGAGTTACCTTTGCTAGTATATCAAATCAATCAAATCAAATTGTATTTGTCACATGCTTCGTAAACAACAGGTGTAGACTAACAGTGGAATGCTTACTTATGGGCCCCCTTCCCAACAATGCAGAAAGAAAGAAAGATAATACCACGAGGAATAAAAACACAATGAGTAACTTGGCTATATACACAGGGTATTTGCTAATAATTTGCATGAGTGGGTACCTTCTGGTGATTACTTTGGAAATCAACACAATTGGGAACAACATAGTTACCTCTAGTATCAAATGGTGCCGACTTGTTTTTGGTAATGAACCTCAAACAAACAAGCAATGAATAGGTTATTGCTGTTTACCATCTTACCATGTAATTTCTCAGTAAATATATTGAACTGAATATAAACGCAACATGTAAACATGTGTTGGTCCCATGTTTCATGAGCTGAAATAAAATATCCCAGAAATGTTCCACATGCACAAAAATCTCCATTCTCTCAAATGTTGTCCACAAATTTGTTTAAATCCCTGTTAGTGAACATTTTATCCTTTGCCAAGATAATCCATCCACCTGACAGGTGTGGCATATCAAGAAGCTGATGAAACAACATGATCATTACACAGGTGCACCTTGTGCTGGGGACAATAAAAGGCCACTCTAAAATGTGCAGTTTTGTCACACAACACAATGCCACAGATGTCTCAAGTTTTGAGGGAGCATGCAATTGGCATGCTGACTGCAGGAATGTCCACCAGAGCTGTTGCCATAGAATTTAATGTTCATTCCTCTACCATAAACCGCCTCCAATGTCGTTTTAGCGAATTTGGCAGTACCTCCAACTGGCCTCACAACCACAGACCACGTGTAACCACGCCAGCCCAGGACCTCCATATCCGGCTTCTTCACCTGCGGGATCATCTGAGACCAGCCACCCGGACAGCTGATGAAACTGAGGAGTATTTATGTCTGTAATAAAGCCCCTTTGTGGGGAAAAACTAATTCTGATTGGCTGGGCCTGGTTCCTCAGTGTCACGGTTTCAGCCGAGGCTGCTCCTTCTCCTTGTTCGGGCAGGCTTCGGCGGTCGTCGTCTCCAGAGTACTAGCTGCCACCGTTCTATGTTTCTATGTTTGATTGGTTTTGTCTGTTTTGCTACACCTGTTCCTTATTAGTGTTTATTAGGCGTCCTATTTAGTTCTCTTGTGTTTGGTCAGGTGTTGTGTGTAATTGTTCCTCGTCACGTTGTGTGCTAGTTCGTTATTTCTGTTCTCTCTGTATTTTGTGTTTTGAGAGAGAGTTCCGCACTTTGTGCGCTTTAGCATACTTTACTGTTGTGCGTAAAGTTCGCCTGTAGCCTGTTGCCGTGTTTGGCTCGTTTTTTGGACTTTACTAAAGATGCTGTTCGAAACCTCTGTGTGTCCTGCGCCTGATTCTACACCACCTCTACACTCAACCCTGACACTCAGTGGGTGGGCCTGGCTCCCAAGGGTAGGGGCCTATGCCCTCCCAGGCCCACCCATGGCTGCGCCCCTGCCCAGTCGTGAAATCCTAATTTAGGTCCTAATTTTTTTATTTCAATTGACTGATTTCCTTATATGAACTGTAACTCAGTAAAATTGTTGAAATTGTTGCATGTTGCATTTATATTTTTGTTCAGTATACATTTCTGTGCTGTAAGATAAAATCTATGTCACTGACAGGTTTGAATATTGTTTAGTTCCCTACGTTTCCTCCTCAAATAGTTATCCAAGACACTCGCTGCCATGCAGCGATGTAGTGCAGGGTTTCCCAAACTTGGTCCTGGGGCCCCCCCTGGCTGCACGTTTTGGTTTTGCCCTAGCACTACACAGCTGATTTCAAATAATCAAAGCTTGATGATGAGTTGGTTATTTGAATCAGCTGTGTAGTGCTAGGGCAAAAACCAAAACGTGCACCCAGGGGGGGCCCCAGGAACTTTTCTAAAATGCTCACTGCACATGCGAGTGGTTTCATGGACAGAGATGGAAATATCCATTCGAAATTTTGAAAGAGGTGAAATAATAGATGCAACAACTATCATGGGTTGCTAATATGACTAGGGTAATGCATTTGGCTGCTAGACAATGAAAGAAAGTTGATATGAAAACCAAAGGCCTAACCGTCTTCTGGTAGATGGAAAGGCTTTCAAAAACCTTCTCAATTAAATATTAACTAGCTACAAAGTAGCCTATTCCTTCCTGTCAGAATGAGATCATGATTATTTGCATCAATCCATTAATTGGCCATTTGTTTTGCAAACTCCATCTCGTGCATCATCTCGTGCATAGCCGCGGGAATTAGGGGTGCTGAGGTTCCTGCAGCACCCCCTGAAAAATCGGAATATTATTTATTTTAAATATAAATGCTCATGTGTGCTACACAAACACCACTAAACCAAACAACAGTTCTAGGTGCCTGCACAGTTGAATTAAAGGGTAACTACACACAAAAAAGAGAGTACATTTATTGGGTTTTTCCCAGACCTCAAAAGTGGTCTCCCTGATGTGGTTTAACTTTGAAAGCGAAAACCTGAACAATTTGGAAAATCAGAAACCTGTGAATTTCTGACTCAGTTGACAGCCTCATTTATCTATTTCAATAGTAGGCCTACTATTAGCCTACTTGCACAGTACAGCTTGGTTTGGCCTGACTGTGAAAGACCAGTATGGGATTCATCATTTTAGGTAATCTAACGTGTACACTACCGGTCAAAAGTTTTAGAACACCTACTCATTCAAGGGTTTTGCTTTATTTTTTAAAAACTATTTTCTACATGTAGAATAATAGTGAAGACATCAAAACTATGAAATAACACATATGGAATCATGTAGTAACAAATCCAAATATATTTTATATTTGAGATTCCTCAAATAGCCACCCTTTGCCTTGATGACAGCTTTGCACAATCTTGGCATTCTCTCAACCAGCTTCATGAGGTAGTCAGCTGGAATGAATTTAAATTAACAGGTGTGCCTTCTTAAAATTTAATTTGTGGAATTTCTTTCCTTCTTAATGCGTTTGAGCCAATCAGTTGTGTTGTGATAAGGTATACAGAAGATAGCCCTATTTGGTAAAATACCAAGTCCATATTATGTCAAGAACAGCTCAAATAATCAAAGAGAAACGACAGTCCATCATTACTTTAAGACATGAAGGTCAGTCAATACAGAACATTTCAAGAACTTTTAAAGTTTCTTCAAGTGCAGTCGCAAAAACCATCAAGCTCTATGATGAAACTGGCTCTCATGAGGACCGCCACAGGAAAGGAAGACCCAGAGTTACCTCTGCTGCAGAGGATAAGTTCATTAGAGTTACCAGCCTCAGAAATTGCAGCCCAAATAAATGCTTCAGAGTTCAAGTAACAGACACATCTCAACATCAACTGTTCAGAGGAGACTGTGTGAATCAAGCCTTCACGGTCAATTTGCTGCAAAGAAACCACTACTAAAGGACACCAATAAGAAGAAGAGACTTGCTTGGGCCAAGAAACACGAGCAATGGACATTAGACCGGTGGAAATGTGTCCTTTGGTCTGGAGTCCTAATTGGAGATTTTTGGTTCCATCCACCATGTCTTTGTGAAACACGGTGTGGGTGAGCGGTTGATCGCCGCATGTGTATTTCCCACCGTAAATCATGGAGGAGGAGATGTTATGGTGTGGGGGTGCTTTGCTGGTGACACTGTCTGTGATTTATTTAGAATTCAAGGCACACTTAACCAGCATGGCTACCACAGCATTCTGCAGCGATACGCCATCCCATCTGGATTGGGCTTAGTGGGCTATCATTTGTTTTTCAACAGGACAATGACCCAACACACCTCCAGACTGTGTAAGGGCTATTTGGCCAAGAAGGAGAGGGATGGAGTGCTGCATCAGATGACCTGGCCTCCGCAATCCCCCGACCTCAACCACATTGAGATGGTTTGGGATGAGTTGGACCGCAGAGTGAAGGAAAAGCAGCCAACAAGTGCTCAGCATATGTGGGAACTCCTTCAAGACTGTTGGAAAAGCATTCTAGTAGAAGCTGGTTGAGAGAATGCCAAGAGTGTGCAAAGCTGTCATCAAGGCAAAGGGTGGCTATTTGAAGAATCTCAAATATAATTTGTTTAACACTTTTTTTGGTTACTACATGATTCCATATGTGTTATTTCATAGTTTTGAAGTCTTCACCATTATTATACAATGTAGAAAATAGTACAAATAAAGAAAAATCCTTGAATGAGTAGGTGTTCTAAAACTTTTGACCGGTGGTGTATGTCACTGTTTGTCATATCATTTTTCACACAGGGTGCCTTTCCTTCACCGGGTGGGCCGTTTGGAAAGGTTTTTATTGGCACTTCTTCTTCCTCATTGTGTGAATTGGCTAAAGGATCTTTGTGCTGGGCCAAGAACACAAACATTAAGATAAAAGTGGTAGCGCATATCTTTACAAACCCACCTGTTCCATGTGTCTAAAGACACTTAAGCATATTTCATTCAGAATTACCCTCTTTGTCTGCAGGTTTCAAAACAACAGGATGTTCGTACAGGGCTCAATTAACTAGGCCTGTTGAAAGTTAGCCTATAATTGGCTTTCTTTATCGTTAGTTCTTGAAGGCAGCTTGTGCTAACTTAGAGGATTACATAGCATTTACACTATACAAGCGGCACTCGCCTAGCCATGCGAGCCTCACCCTCATGTGGGTAGCAAGCAAGCTAGGTAGTGATACATATCAACAGCCATTGTCAGCCAGTCCAGTAGGGGTTGGAAGTTATGGTGAGCTTCGATTGGTCACTTGCGATATCGCGGCAGATTTGAGTAAAGTTCTGCTTTCCCCAACTTTAGTTCCGCCCTGTTCAGCTCCCTCGCTCATGCTCGCATCGCTCAATGGTCCCCGCCCACTCCGCTTCTCTCGCTTTCCTTCCATTGAAGGCTTCCGATGTTCCACGGTGCGATGCCACTTCCTAGTGTAAATGGCCCGTTACACAGCAGGGCCTGAAATTCATAAAGCATCGCAGAGTAGGAGTGCTGATCTATGATATGGTCCCTGTGGTCTAAAAGACTACTATAAACTGATCCCAGATTTGCACTACATGCTTTATGAATACAGGCCCAGGAATCTACAGTGGGGAGAACAAGTATTTGATACACTGCCGATTTTGCAGGTTTTCCTACTTACAAAGCATGTAGAGGTCTGTAATTTTTATCATAGGTACACTTCAACTGTGAGAGACGGAATCTAAAACCAAAAATCCAGAAAATCACATTGTATGATTTTTAAGTAATTAATTTGCATTATATTGCATGACAGAAGTATTTGATCACCTACCAACCAGTAAGAATTCCGGCTCTCACAGACATGTTAGTTTTTCTTTAAGAAGCCCGCCTGTTCTCCACTCATTACCTGTATTAACTGCACCTGTTTGAACTCGTTACCTGTATAAAAGACACCTGTCCACACACTCAATCAAACAGACTCCAACCTCTCCACAATGGCCAAGACCAGAGAGCTGTATAAGGACATCAGGGATAAAATTGTAGACCTGCACAAGGCTGGGATGGGCTACAGGACAATAGGCAAGCAGCTTGGTGAGAAGGCAACAACTGTTGGCGCAATTATTAGAAAATGGAAGAAGTTCAAGATGACGGTCAATCACTCTCGGTCTGGGGCTCCATGCAAGATCTCACCTCGTGGGGCATCAATGATCATGAGGAAGGTGAAGGATCAGCCCAGAACTACACGGCAGGACCTGGTCAATGACCTGAAGAGAGCTGGGACCACAGTCTCAAAGAAAACCATTAGTAACACACTACGCCGTCATGGATTTAAATCCTGCAGCGCACGCAAGGTCCCCCTGCTCAAGCCAGCGCATGTCCAGGCCCGTCTGAAGTTTGCCAATGACCATCTGGATTATCCAGAGGAGGAATGGGAGAAGGTCATGTGGTCTGATGAGACAAAAATAGAGCTTTTTGGTCTAAACTCCACTCGCCGTGTTTGGAGGAAGAAGAAGAATGAGTACAACCCCAAGAACACCATCCCAACCGTGAAGCATGGAGGTGGAAACATCATTCTTTGGGGATGCTTTTCTGCAAAGGGGACAGGACGGCTGCACCGTATTGAGGGGAGGATGGATGGGGCCATGTATCGCGAGATCTTGGCCAACAACCTCCTTCCCTCAGTAAGAGCATTGAAGATGGGTCGTGGCTGGGTCTTCCAGCATGACATCGACCCAAAACACACAGCCAGGGCAACTTAGGAGTGGCTCCGTAAGAAGCATCTCAAGGTCCTGAAGTGCCCTAGCCAGTCTCCAGACCTGAACCCAATATAAAATCTTTGGAGGGAGCTGAAAGTCCGTATTGCCCAGCGACAGCCCCGAAACCTGAAGGATCTGGAGAAGGTCTGTATGGAGGAGTGGGCCAAAATCCCTGCTGCAGTGTGTGCAAACCTGGTCAAGACCTACAGGAAACGTATGATCTCTGTAATTGCAAACAAAGGTTTCTGTACCAAATATTAAGTTCTGCTTTTCTGATGTATCAAATACTTATGTCATGCAATAAAATGCAAATTAATTACTAAAAAATCATACAGTGTGATTTTCTGGATTTTTGTTTTAGATTCCATCTCTCACAGTTGAAGTGTACCTATGATAAAAATTACAGACCTCTACATGCTTTGTAAGTAGGAAAACCTGCAAAATCGGCAGTGTATCAAATACTTGTTCTCCCCACTGTAGGTGTAGCCTAGTGTAAGTAGGTCTTATAAGTGTAAGCACTGGCTAGATTCTTCCAAGGTCTTGTCACATGTTTACCCCTCAGTTTCAATGAAATAGCCATGACCCATTGTGTTTCAATGGAGCATATTTTGAAATCACTTTTCTCACAATGGATTTTGATTTTCTGTGTCCCATAGGTCAGTGACGTGAGTTCTTCAGATATTTGCTCTGTAATTAGAGAGTCCATAGTGGTTAATTCTGTGCATTGCAATTTCTCGTGGACAGACGCATGTAACATAACTGGTATTGTAGGATGTGGGATGCAACTAGTCCACCACACGAGTGCACAGATTTTTCATCACTAATCATTTCAATGGACTCTAGCTGCAGACCTAATCTCTCAGGCCCCTCTCTATACTACCACCCACTGGAGACCTAATCTCTCAGGCTCTCAGTTGCGAACTGACCGGGGAAAACAAACCCCCTCTTTCAATTAGCTCCTGGATGCTTCTCTTTCTATTGGCTCGTGACAACTTCCTCGTTCTAGGGGTCGCAGTAGCAGGCATATATTTTTTAAAACTTCATTTCGATTTGCCTATCTGAATCGTAATAGCCTACTGTTCCTGCTTTATATGGTTATTTATAAGTATTTTAGTTCATGGAGGGCTGTTTGTGTCACTATCCCATTTTTTTTATTGGCTTGTTTATTTCATTATTTTTGGGAGACAACGACTTTAACCATATTTTGCATTATTGAAATATTATGAATTATGTTGGATGATGACAAGGGATAGGGGCCTGGGAGATGAGGGGGAGGGGCCTGAAAGATGATGGGGTGGGGCCTGAGCCACCAGTAGGTGGAAGTATAGAGAGAGGCCTCGATCATTTGGACAAATCAAGATTTCGCAGGTGTTTGCAGCTTTGGAATTTCAGAAGGGGAGGGGCCATTTGGGCCATAGACTTGCCCATACCTTGCAAAGAGAGGGGGTGGAGCTACCACCCTGCTTCCACTCCTCGTTCTAGAACATTTTCTAACAAGTCTGCAGTCTGCCCCCAGAACTTAATTGAGCATCTGATGCAATTATGCAAGATTTTAGTTCTGACTTTCCGAAATTATGTGCATTGTGTGTGTGTGTGTGTGTGTGTGTGTGTGTGTGTGTGTGTGTGTGTGTGTGTGTGTGTGTGTGTGTGTGTGTGTGTGTGTGTGTGTGTATGACAGTGCCAGTTCCGTCTACACACAGACACTGTTATTGTTGACTTTTCAACCATGGCAGTGCTAACGTGTTGACAGTGTGAGTTTTGAATACTACAGTTTTACTAAATAATCATTACAAACTCTGACAGTGTTTGTTGCACAGTTAACAAACCTGTTTATTCAAACATGACAACTATTATACAGTTCCAAAGGACATACAAATAATATATTTTCACCTTATGTTATCTCTACACTACAAACAGTATAAACATCTTGATAAAATAATCACAGTTATCAATAGGACTTGGCATCTGTAATGGATGCCTGGCTTAAACTTCTATACAAATCGTGACTTAATTATGTATTGAGGTATTGCAAAAATAGTCAACAACTAACACTGCTTCTGAAGCTTATGTCCTAAATATGCCCTTAGATCTAAGATTCTCCCTAAATCATATACATTCAGTTTGATAAAGAAGTAGTAGGGTCTACTGCATGTTCAAATATTGTGTACGACCTACTACAACTATCTACAAGGCTGACATCAAAACCTTGATTTGTGACAGCTATTTACCTTTTTGTAGTTAAAGGCAACATGGATACTTTTCTAAAGTTAGCATATCCAAGTAAAATACAACAGTGCCATACAGCTTCCTTTACAAAAGTTAAAGTTCATCATCCTTCACACACTCTCAGTTATACGTTAGTGCCAATCTAACAAAAGACTCCCACTACTGAACCCAAACCATCCACAAATACCAATTTTCATACTATTGTGTTGACCAGGGGCGGAATGGCCATCTGGCTTTTCGGGCAAATGCCAGATGGGCTGGTAAATGTTTAGACCAGTATGCCTTTCTAACTTGGGTTTTTTGCACAAATTGATCATTATTTGGCTAACAATGGGGGCCTCAATGAAAAAATTGTCCGGAGTGGGGGCCTTGAGGAAAACAGTGGCCAGTGTGTTAGAAATGCCAGGGCAAATTACTGGTCCCAGTCTGCCCCTGGTGTCGACCTGAACCTTACTATATTGGCTTAGATATTTTATTTTCACAATGTCATTTCCAGCATTGTTCCAGCAACTATGGTGGAAATACACCAAGCAATTGCAGTACAGCTCAGTTTGCCTTGGCTTGGCTCAGTAGTGTTAAGGGTAAATCAAATTTAGTCAAAGACCATCATCTTCACACACAGTAACTCTCCCCCAGTCCCCACTAGCAGCTGACGTCGTACACCTCTGTGTCCTGCTTGTTCTTCAGCTGTGAGCAGGCGGTAAAGGAAGGACATCTGGGCCGAATCTTGAAGCTGAGCAGCAGAGCCATCCCCCCCAGCACCTGTACACATCCCCCCACCCAGCCGAAGTAGAGCGACCCGGCCGGGTGCAGAGTGAGCTGGGGCAGCCTATGATGAGGTCTGTGGGGGGGTGTCTGCTCCATCCCCAGTATTCCCAGGTTGTGTGTGTACACCCCCAGTGCGGTTAAACTCAGCAGGCCTGACAGCACCACTAGCAGGCCTCCGGCCACCGCCACGCTTCTCAGGGGCAGGTCGGTCCAGCACCTCACCCCCACACTGGCCAGCATGATGCCCGCACCACACAGGAACAAGGAGCTGAGCACAAGGCCTTGCGCCAGCCTCACCTGTGGGTCGCTCTGGTAGGCGCCTTCTACTGGCCAGCACTGCTTCAGCTCCGAGTGGGCCACCTGCAAGCAGCTCTCCCATAGGCCATCGGTGCGCAGGAGGAGGCGGGGCTCAGCCCCAGCCACGCCCACCAGCTGGGTCTGCCCCTCCCTCCACTGGGGCGTGATGGCTGCCATGAAGACCAGCACCAGGCCCAGAGGGGCGAACACGATGCCCATCACCATGGAGGCAGGGGTTTGCATGTTGCTGCTGGGTAATGGGGTTCTGGATGGGCTTCTGGTTAACAGAGTTCTGGGGGATTTCTGGGTAATGTAGTTCTGGACGTTCCCCTCTAAGTGATGGTGGTTATGTAGGTCGTCCTGTGGTGTAGGTTGTCCTTGTTCAGAGAGAAAGGATGGATGGTGGATCTGGGATGGTGGCCAGGAGAGTCACAGACAGTAGACGTTGGTCACACCTTCAGGTAGGACACCGTCAAGCTGCAATGAGGAAAGAGGAGATAAGACATTACCTCACCCAGTACAAAACCGTTTAGCGCTGACGCAAATATGACTGACTGTCCTCTGATCACAACCTCCAATGGACCTCATTTGGAACGTGCTGAATTTCATCCCCATCTCTGAGAGATCTAATGGTCTTATATCTGGTGTTGTAACTGTCTAAGTGACTGATCTAAATGGTTCCCTTTACCTTGCTGTGGTGTTCTAAGCGTCCTTCACTCCTCCCTGGGCTGAGAGAGAGAGAGAGAGAGAGAGAGAGAGAGAGAGAGAGAGAGAGAGAGAGAGAGAGAGAGATGAGAGAGAGAGAGAGAGACGAGAGAGTCTGAGCGAAATAGATATCTAGGCTCCTCTATAGCTAGAATATAGCAGATACTCCGCTCCTATTCTGCTCCGAGATTCGACGCGCTCTGCCTCTCTCGCCTCTCTCTCTCCGACTCTGAGACTCTCGCGCTCTGAGCGCCGAGAGCTGAGAACTCATGGCTTCAGTGGTCTGCTGGAGGCTAGGAGAATCGAGATGCCCCTCTGTTGCTAAGATACACTAACCTGGCCAGTCTCACAGCCGCTTTATTACACTTAGAAACGTCTGACCGCAAGATACATTAGTCAATGAGAGTGTGTGAGTGCATGTATATTCATATGTGTGTGTGTGAATGTGTGTGGCGCATACGCATGTGTGTGGCGCACACGCGTGTGTGTGTATGTGTGTGTTATACTTTTTGGTAGGGATAGTGAGGAACAGTGAGTAGTGACTTTGGTTGTATTGAGGCTAGGATGTCATTGGGTTGTTCTACTGTCTGAATGCTGAATGAGCTGATCAGTGACGAGAATACCCAGGGAGCTGTGTGCAGGCACGTACACACACACGGAAAATCGAGGAACAAACATCACCCGGGTACAAACAACATCAGTCACCGTCATATGATGCATAGTGCTGCATGACAAACGTGTCCTAATAAAGAGATGTTCTAATCGAAGACATCAGGGCCATGTTCAGTAGGGCACACCATGTTGAAGTGTTTTGAAACGGCAAATAAAAATGAGCATTTCTTATTGGTCAAGTCCATCTTGTCCCTCCCTATTTTCAGAGAAATAAAAATCTATTTGGTGCCTAATAAACACAACTTTGCTCTTTGATCCCACTTTGTGACAGTTTCTATCCACCCTAAGATAGTTACCCTCTTAATTAATAGCAATCTAAAAGTATTCCCTTCATGATTTGCCATATAATAGCAATTACCACGCATGCATTAGTCATTTGATACATTGTGTAAAGTGCTTCAAGGCATCAATTAAACGCTAATTGCGTTGTGTGTGACAATATCATATTAGCATCTAAGTGGCTGCCATCATAGAAATATAATTACTAGAAGGGACATTCCCATTCAAGCCAATTATGCCATAATGGTTGGACTGGTAATTATATTTCTATGGCTGCCATATAGCAGATACAGATGCTACTAGGCTGCAGCATAGATACAGTTGCTCGGTCTGTATCAGTGATTCTTCACTGTTTCTGGTGATTTATTTATTAAAGAAGAAGTCCTACTGAGCCCCTTCCCACTAGTAGTGTGTGTGTTTATGTATTTGTTGTTGCGTACATGCACGTGTACGTGCATTCATGAATGTGTGTGTTTGTGGCATTTTCACTCCCGCTACTGTTAAATAACCTCCCACCTTGTGTATTTCTATTTCCCCTAACGCTGCTGTGTGTGTCTGTATGTGGGTCAGACTAATTACAGGTAACATGGGGAGATTGCAATGGGAGTTTGTCTGCAGCCTCCGAGGCAGATTGTTGATCTGTGGGTTTGGATGCAGGGTGGATGAAAGTACACTGATGCTCTGGGGAGATTATATAATAATCGTTACTAAATAATTGTTACTCAATTGCATAACTCCTCTCTCCCCGGGTTATCACTAGTTAACACAGCCAAAAGTCAAAATTGGCTATATCGTAAAAAATCATGAAAACAAAAATGCAGTTTCTGGTGTTAATTTAAGGTTAGGGTTAGCCATAAGGTTAGCATTGTGGTTAAGGTTAGGGTTAAGGTTAGGTTCAAAATTACATTTTAAGATGAGAAATTGTAGAAATAGGCAGGGTTTAAGACTGTGCTCTGGTAAATAGTGACGACTGCACACAGTTCCTCCATGCTGTTTATTATCTCAGCATGCTGTCAATTCATGCACAACAGATTCTTACAAAACAAGAATGATGGTGCTTTCCACGTTGCTTGCAAATGTAAATCCACATGTTTTCTCTATAGGCTACTATTAGTTTCTGTATATTTCTCTCTGCAAAACGTGAGTTAGTTAATCTAAGGAAGCTGACATGAGCCAAACATAATGCTAATTGCTATTATGGCTGGCTAGCTAAATGCCATTTAGCTAAATGCACTATCTGGGACAAAGCAAACGTTACCTCTAATACAGGTTGCTACCAGTGGTGGTGTAGATCAGCATTGTTTGTGCCATGGCATGTTCTGAATCAAATAGCCTATTTTAAAATCTTTGTTTAAATGTAACATCTATTCAAATGTGATTAGGGTCCCCTGGTCCCCTGGGAAACACTGACCAACACTTTGGTTCCTACCCTGTCATAACTGCTACCTGGCTTTTTCATTTGTTGTCATGCCAAATAGCACCAACCATATAATTAGAATAATCATTCTATTTCTATGATTCCAACAGTTGATGGAAGTGTTTTGATCTACACTGAGTGTACGAAATATTACTAATACTAATACTAATATTGAGTTGCACCCCCTTTTGCCCTCAGAACAGCCTCAATACGTCGGGGTATGGACTCTACAAGGTGTCGAAAGCATTCCACAGGGATGCTGACCCATGTTGACTCCAATGCTTCCCACAGTTGTGTCAAGTTGGCTGGATGTCCTTTGGGTGGTGGACCATTTTTGATACACACGGGAAACTGTTGAGTGTGATACTGTGGCTTGCGAAAGTATTCACCCCCCTTGGCAATTTTCCTATTTTGTTGCCTTACAACCTGGAATTAAAATTGATTTTTGGGGGGTTTGTATCATTTGATTTTTTGCCCATTCTTCAAGGCAAAACTGTTCCAGCTCCTTCAAGTTGGATGGGTTCCGCTGGTATACAGCAATCTTTAAGTCAAACCATAGATTCTCAATTGGATTGAGGTCTGGGCTTTGACTAGGCCATTCCAAGACATTTAAATGTTTCCCCTTAAACCACTCGAGTGTTGCTTTAGCAGTATGCTTAGTGTCATTGTCCTGCTGGAAGGTGAACCTCCGTCCCAGTCTCAAATCTCTGGAAGACTGAAACAGGTTTCACTCAAGAATGTGCCTGTATTTAGCTCCATCCATCATTCATTAAATTCTGACAAGTTTCCCAGTCCCTGCCGATGAAGCTCAATTTTAGTCTCATCTGACAAGAGTACTTTCTTCCATATGTTTGGGGAGTCTCCCACATGCCTTTTGGTGAACACCAAACGTGTTTGCTTATTTTTTTATTCATGCAATGGCTATTTTCTGGCCACTCTTCTGTAAAGCCCAGCTCTGTGGAGTGTACGGCTTAAAGTGGTCCTATGGACAGACACTCCAATGTCCGCTGTGGAGCTTTGCAGCTCCTTCAGGGTTATCTTTGGTCTCTTTGTTGCCTCTCTGATTAATGCCCTCCTTGCCTGGTCCATGCGTTTTGGTGGGTGGCCCTCTCTTGGCAGGTTTGTTGTGGTGCCATATTCTTTCCATTTATTAATCATGGATTTAATGGTGCTCCGTGGGATTTTCAAAGTTTCTGATCTGCACTTCTCCACAACTTTGTCCCTGACCTGTTTGGAGAGCTCCTTGGTCTTCATGGTGCCGCTTGCTTGGTGGTGCCCCTTGCTTAGTGGTGTTGCAGACTCTGGGGCCTTTCAGAACAGGTGTATATATACTGAGATCATGTGACACTTAGATTGTACACAGGTGGACTTTATTTAACTAATTATGTGACTTCTGAAGGGAATTGGTTGCACCAGATCTTATTTAGGGGCTTCATAGCAAAGGGGGTGAATACATATGCATGCACCACTTTTCCGTTATTTATTTATTCAAATTGTTTTAAACAAGTTATTTTTTTCATTTCACTTCACCAATTTGGACTATTTTGTGTATGTCCATTACATGAAATCCAAATAAAAATCCATTTAAATTACAGGTTGTAATGCAACAAAATAGGAAAAACGCAGAGGGGGATGAATACTTTTGCAAGGCACTGTATCTATGCATAGTCACTTTACCCCTTCCTACATGTACAAATTACCTCGACTAACCTGTACCCCCGCACATTGACTCGATACCAGTACCCCCATAGCCTCGTTATTGTTATTTTATTGTGTTACTTTTCATTTATTTTGTAAATTATTTGTTTTACTTTAGTTTATTTAGTAAATATTTTATTAACTCTTTCTTCAACTGCATTGTTGGTTAAGGGCTTGTAAGTAATCATTTCACTGTAAGGTTGTATTCAGCGCATGTGACAAATACTATTTTATTTTATTTGATGATGGTATGTTTGAATTGCTTAATTAACTCAGGAACCACACCTGTGTGGAAGCAGCTGCTTTCAATATACTTTGTATCCCTCATTTACTAAAGTGTTTCCTTTATTTTGGTAGTCAACAACCGCTAAATAGGTTTCCTCTTGACATCCAACTTTTAGCCACAGGATTTGAAATAGAAGGTAATGGCGAGATGGCTGTGTGGAGGATCTGCCTTGACTTGCTTTCTTTTTGGCTAGCCAGCTACACTGAACAAAAATGTAAACTCAACATGCAACAATTACAAAGATTTTAGTGAGTTACAGTTCATATAAGGAAATCATATCAGTCAATTGAAATAAAATAAATATAGGCCCTAATATATGGATTTCACATGAGTAGGAATACAGATATGCATCTGTTGGTCACAGATACCTTAAAAAAGGTTGGGGCGTGGATCAGAAAACCAGTCAGTATCTGGTGTGACCACCATTTGCCTCATGCAGCGTGACACATCTCCTTCGCATTGAGTTCATCAGACTGTTAATTGTGGCCTGTGGAATGTTGTACCACTCCTCTTCAATGGTTGTGCGAAGTTGCTGGATATTGGCGGGAACTGGAACACGCTGTCGTACACGTTGATCCAGAGCATCCCAAACATGCTCAATGGGTGACATGTCTGGTGAGTATGCAGGCCATGGAAGAACTGGTACATTTTCAGCTTCCAGGAATTGTGTACACAGATCCTTGCAACATGGGAGCGTGCATTATCATGCTGAAACATGAGGTGATGGCATCAAGGTATCTCTGTGCATTCAAATTGCCATCGATAAAATGCAATTGTGTTCATTGGCCTTAGGTTATGCCTGCCTATACCATAACCCCACCGCCACCATTGGGCACTCTGTTCACAACGTTGACATGAGCAAACCGCTCACCGACATGACGCCATACACGCTGTCTGCCATCTGCCCGGTACAGTTGAAACCGGGATTCATCCGTGAAGAGCACACTTTTCCAGCGTGCCAGTGGCCATCGAAGGTGAGCATTTGCCCACTGAAGTCGGTTACGACGCTGAACTGCAGTCAGGTCACGACCCTGGTGAGGACGACGAGCATGCAGATGAGCTTCCCTGAGACCGTTTCTGACAGTTTGTGCAGAAATTATTCGATTGTGCAAACCCACAGTTTCATCAGCTGTCCAGGTGGCTGGTCTCATCCATGTGAAGAAGCCGTATGTGGAGGTCCTGGGCTGGTGTGGTTACACGTGGAGAAATGCTCACTAACAGGGATGTAAACAAATTTGTGCTCAAAATTTGAGATAAATAAGCTTTTAGTGCATATGAAAAATGTTTATTTTTTTATTTCAGCTCATGAAACATGGGACCAACACTTTACATGTTGCGTTTATATTTTTGTTCAGTATAGCTAAGTTTGCCACGATTGCTAGCATGCTAGCTAACTGCTTCTAAACAAAGAACATGATGTCATGTTGCAAGCAGATTTCAATAAATGTTTTGAAACAGTGGTTTTGTCAAATTTATGCTTTGGCCAGAACTACAAATAAAGGACAGGTCAACAACATTATTTGGGTATGAGTTAACAGAATGAGATTTTAAAACTGACATTTTCATGGGACAGCTACTTTAACCTACTTTACACTTTCACTCTGGCAAGTATTGGAAACTGTGACATTTTCACCAGAAATATTATTAATTGACCATTTTGAATCATAGACAATTCCACTCTTTTTAAAGTAATTTCTATCATTTTCCCTCTCATTCTTTTGACATGCTCACCTTCATGGATACCAAAAGATGATCAAGTACAAATGAGCAAATGCGGCCCCTGATGACACCTGTGTCTGTAAGGCTGTGTTTAAACAGGCAGACCCGTTCTGATATTTTGCCAAAAAATCAGAGTTGGGCTGTCTGTGTAAATGCTGTCTATGTAAATGCAGCCTAAGACATTGAGCAGCAGGACAAATTCTACATAAGATACAGGAGTTGACATAGCAACTATCAGAATAATAATCAGGCAAAACTATTAGAAATGCGATTAGGGACTGAATTGAAAGATGAGGAAAAGGTGAAGCGAGAGGGGTAACTCGGTCCACAATCTGTCTCCTCCAGCAGGTGGCATTTTTTTGTTTTTTAGCCCATCAAGCGAGTAATTTTTGTATGGAGGTCAATGAGAGTGTCAAATTTGGTCAACAAAAAATGTAATGGCTTATTTGCTACGTGAGGATTATTTGATTGAATAGAAGTTCTGTGATGTTTAGGTTGTTACGAATGTACTGATATAAGTACACACACGTGGCATAACGGCAACTTTGAGAAAAACTATTTTATATCGGAGTTCTGCCTGTTGTTCACACAATATCTTCCTTCTCATTGGCTAGAATGGTCCCACATGGTCTCGCCTCATCTCTCCTGCCTCTTCCTCTCTGAGGACAGTGAATCCCATTGTTAGACATGAGACTTGACCATCTCGTCATTATATACGTATCACTGTGAGGACTCAATACTCTCTCTAAGCGCGTTTTGTTTCTCATCAAGTTTCCTATGATTCACAAACATCCCCCTACATCCACACACAATCTTTCCCTCTTTAGCCGTCATATTGATTGCACAGTAAGCCATATCTAATTAGAAGGATACACTTACCATTCAGTTGAGGTAGTAGCCGGCTCCACGTCTCGCCTGCTCCTCCTTCTCTGTCCATCTGCACACCTTACGTTATTCCCTCTAGTAGGATCCTATGCTTGCCCTATCCATCTCTTACCCTTTCTCTCTCCTCCCCTCTTTCACTTGTCTCGATCTCGAGTTACAGGAGGATGGCTGTGTTAGATCTCAGATGCAGCCGAGTGTACATTCAGCCTCTCTCTCTTTCTCTCTCTCTCTCACATTTCTATTTCTCTCGCTCGCTCTCTCCTTCTGTCTCTCTCATCTCTGGTACCCACTGGATGCACAAACCCTCTCTTGCTGCCGTACCCTTCTTCTTTAGTCCTCTCCCTTCACTTTCTCTTTCTCTTCCTCTCTCTGTCTCCTCTTTGGTACCCAGTGAAGGATGCACATAGGTACGTGTGCTGCCTGCTATATAAGTTGTGTCCAGTCTGGAAGCAGCTCGCATGCCGGAACAAAAGGGTAAGGATAAGGAAGAGGCAAGAGGGTTCATCCAATAAACTGGCTAGACAGGCACACATGTTCACATACACACAGACTCATGCATACAGTACACTCATGCATACACACACACACCCGCTCAAGATGATAGAGATACTTAACCTTATTGTTAACAGAATAAGAATTTGGTTTGTGATGTCTGATATAAAATAGCAGACATGGCTAGACACACACTTGTACATGTATAAGCAACAAGCTCTCGCAGTCTCACTGCAGAATTAGAGGTTTATCCATGTTTTTGACACTCTGGGTTTCTCCTTCAGTCCTCCTGCTCAGTATCATTCCGTTTCTCAAAACATCAAATGTCAAAGTTGCTCCAAATGTCAAATTTTGTAAGGTTAAGGTTTGGGATAGGTCTAAAACAAAACACTGGGAGTGAACACGCAACCTTCTGATCCAGAGTCATGGGATTACTAGAAAAACCCAAGCCTACTTGATGGTAATAGTGCTCACTGTTGCCCCTAGCAGCCAGTGTTAAAGGCATTTCCCGATGTCCTGCGGACATGGATAGACGTTCAATTTTGAAGTCACTCGAGCGATCTGACTGGTATTAACCCAGCTAGCACATTAGGTTCCTTGGAAGTTGTGAGGACATACATTTTTCGTTTCCCATTGGTTCTGGGAACGAAGTGATACGTTTCCTGACCGGTAAAATTGAACGTTTTTTAAATGTTCTGAGAACAGAAGTGAAAATCTCGCCTGTTCTGGGAACGTTAATTTTTAGGTTGCAGGGAGGTTCTGAGAACATTTTACTATGGTTCCCTGAAAGATTTTCTGGGAGGTTTTATTATTGTTCTGAGAATACATTATAGGCTATATGAAGGTAATTAAATAACGTTCTGAGAACATGTTTCAATAAAACTTTTAATAACACTGCTAACTGAAATGTCCACATAAGAAACATATGGTTCCCAGAATCTTGTGGGAAGGTTGTATTCAAAATAACCATAGGACAACCACGCTCTCACCAACCTCGAAGAAACATAGTTCTCAGAACGTTACGTGCTAGCTGGAAAGTGCCTGTGCTATAGGCTATAGGCCTGCTCTGGTCTAGGGTATTCTTATCATGTTATCATTCTGTAAGATTTGAGTTTAAGTTAATGAATCTTATGTCCTCTTCCAACTTTAACATACTAAAACCATTAAAGACAACCCATCTTTTTTTTGTATTTTTTGTATTTTCCTTGAAAAACAAAAAAAACGAAGAGTATCAATACAAAAGGATCGCCATGCTAAAATCATAACATACATTACAGGGATATAGCCAGAGCATTGAAATGTTGCAAAAACATACAAAGAAACTCAACTGAAAGATTTTGACAGTGGTTGATCAGGCTTCAAGTGGTTCAGGCACAGTGGCTTAGGGGAAAAATTATGTGGTTACACAATACAACATAGAAATGTGTACAGTCCTTTACGAAGGAAGGCCACTCAGGTTTTTGTGAAGGCAATACTCGCTGAAGTGGGAAATGTGTGACTTTGGTTCTAAAAAAGTCCCTGGTGGGAGAATTCTAGGGTGTGAAACTAACAGGGCTACAGCATTATACTATTGGTAGTACCATTATAGCAAACATAATGGTCAGAGAAGTACACCGATGTAGGATCTTAATTTGATCAACCTGTTGCAGGAAAACTTTCCTGCAATGCAGGACATTTAAAACTCATAGTGTATTTGAGGTTTAAAAAGGCTTTTGAAGTTAGTCATTTCCACTTTGAGATTTCACTTGACTTTCCCCTACGCAAAATGTATCAACCCCTACAAAAATGTCCATTAATTATAATCCACATAATAATTCACATTCCCTGTTGCTGCAGGATTATTTTCCTGCTGTACTAAACTGGCTCAAAGTAAGATCCTACATCTGTAATATAGCGAAAAACATATATAATCCCACACAATGGCATCATTCCCATTACTTGAGATCCCTTGGAAGAAATGATAAGTACATGACAAGCAGCAAGAATGGCAGTCTTTGAAAAAGTTGACAACATACATGAAATGGAAATACATAGCTTTTGGAAAATGGGTTATGGTATCGCTGTATGTCTCCTCAAAGAGACAACTCATATGTCATTAATTTCTATTTACATTAAATATTTACAGCATAATTCATCATAATTGCTCTGTTATAAAATATATACCACAGTAAAAAATCAGAAGGGGGTTAAATGGTATTTACAAAGGCAGTGACTGGCATCGCTATAAAGCACTTGGTCTGAAGTCGGTTCGATGGTTGTACTGATGGTGGGTGTAGCTTGTGTCTTCTTTGGCCCCATTGGTCTTTGCCCTCTTGGCCTAGCCAATAGTCTCTCACAGAGTAATGCTTAAAGGGTTGAAATCGGCAGGCAGTTTGATTGGCTACACCTTGCAATGGGGTGGGCCGAACATCAAAAATGTCCTCTCCCTCTCTTCATAACTCCATGAGAGTGACCTGGAACTGACCGCCCATGATTTCAGAGATCTCTATGAGGAATGCCGAATGGTTGCTGTAGTGTTCAATAATGTTGTCATCCATGTTGACGAATATCCTGAAAAATAAACAACAGACAAATAACAGATTAATGTCTTGTCCAGGCTACATGTTATGTAAATTACCTGTTTTCTGCTGTCTGGCTGATACATTTTGTAGTCACGAAACAAAAGAGTGAGAAGCCTCCAAATCTCTCAACACTGCAGACAATTAATCAGGCCAGACTAATTTTCCCATAGGGCAAGCTGTCTTTACGGTAAGTAAAGCTCTGTTGATAATCAAGCGAACAGCCTGCTCACGCTACCCGGAGGGAAGGGACTGATTGAAGACTATAAGCGGAATGAGACTGCTACATAACCTGTTGGGTTCTCCATTCAAACCCCCAGGGCATACTCAACTTCAGTTAAAGTTATTAGAGCCTTTCAGGCAGTGTGCCAGAATAACCTCACGACATTCTAGGTGACAGCGATCTACTCCATCTAGTCAGCTTCAACAGATGACTGCCTCTGAACATGTTAGTTACACATCTTCATTGATATGAATTATTGTGTGAAGACACATACTACAGGCATACTTTACTGCTTAGTGGTGGATCTGAAGCTTAGGGAAATGTCATCTATACAGTAAACGTAAAGAACTTCAATGTACACTGTAAAATTAGAAGAGTATAGAATTTTTTTCCAAAGACTATGGCCGTGTCCAAATACGCCTACTTGCGTTCTAAATAATAGGCATTTTAGGTATGCGAAAATAGTATGTTTTATAGTATGTGAAATTTCTATGTGAATTTGGTCAGGTTGCCAAAAAAGTTAAATATTGCAGTTTTAAATGCCAGGATGCTATACTCATTTAGGCTTCTCATCTAGTATAACTCGCTGTACACTATTAAGTAAGAGAATGGTCTTTCCAAACTTGTGTGTTTGACAACAGCTGATAATCAGCTGATAATGAGATAAGCGGACGCGCTGTACCCAAATGAATGGCGGGAATCAACGCAACTTCACATTAGATGACAGGTTCTCAGAATAGGTGAGCCTAGTATGTTGATATTTGTTGATTCGTTTTTACTAAACAGTACATTCTAAATAGTATGTAGTACGATATTTTAGGAAGTATTTGGCAAGACCGATTTCGGACACGGCCTATGGCTCAAGCATTGAAAACAAAATGGCCACTATTATTTAATTTCATGGTTGACATGCTGCCAATAGGGATACCAGATCTTCCTCAAAGGCTAGTCCTATTCAATGTCAACCACCTGGCCTCCACATTGTTGCGCAATAAGGTGCCACCCTCTGCCTCAATAAAAAACCCTTGTCTATCATAGTATCTATCTCTTTTCACTCTACAAAGTAAATAGACCACAACACTTCTTGGTGTAGATCAGATTAGAGGAACATAAATACAGTAAAGTAAAAGAATAGGGTGACACATCCATCCAAATCTTTCTGTCCTGTGTTTTTTGGAAGAGCTGCAATTATCACATTCCAGGAGACAGAGCTAGCTAGCTCACCTAGCCGGTCTGTCAACTTTAGTTGCCTTCCTTACTGAGGAAAGACTGACCAAAATTAAACCAAGATTCAACCTAGCTGACAAGTTTTGCTTGTCAGCAATCAAGTACGATGCATTTTGCAGGAAAGAGAAAGGGTCTTCCCCAAACTGTTGCCACAAAGTTGAAAGCACAGAATCGTCTAGAATGTCATTGTACGTTGTAGCATTAACATTTCCCTTCACTGGAACTAAGGTATCTAGCCCGAACCATGAAAAACAACACCAGGCCATTATTCATCCTCCACCAAACTTTACAGTTGGAACTATGCATTCGGGCAGGTAGCGTTCTCCTGGCATCCGCCAAACCCAGATTCGTCCGTTGGACTGCCAGATGGTGAAGCATGATTTATCACACCAGAGAACGCGTTTCCACTGCTCCAGAGTCCAATGGCAGCGAGCTTTACATCACTCAAGCCAATGCTTGGCATTGCGCATGGTGATCTTAGGCTTGTGCACGGCTGCTCGGCCATGGAAACCCATTTCATGAAGCTCCCAACGAAAAGTTATTGTGCTGATGTCGTTTCCAGAGGCAGTTTGGAACTCGTAGTGAGGTGTTGCAATCGAGGACAGACGATTTTTATGCGCTACGTGCTTCAGCACTCGGCAGTCCCGTTCTGTGAGCTTGTGTGGCCTACCAATTCACGGCTGAGACATTGTTGCTCTTAAACGTTTCCACTTCACAATAACAGCACTTACAGTTGACCAGGCCAGCTCTAGCAGGGCAGAAATTTGACAAACTGACTTGTTGGAAAGGTGGCATCCTATGACGATACCACATTGAAAGTCACTGAGCTCTTCAGTATGGCCATTCTACTGACAATGTTTGTCTATGGAGATTGTATGGCGGTGTGCTCGATTTTATACACCTGTCAGCAACGGGTGTGGCTGAAATAGCCTAATCCACTAATTTGAAGGGGTGTCCACATACTTTTGTATATATAGTGTATCTTAAACTTGATTGCTGACAAGCAAAACTTTTTGGGATATGTCAACAATAGACAAATGAAACAAATATCAAAAGAGAGTTTTTGGGTGGAGTTTTCTTTTAATCAAATCCGAACAATTTCCCTTCAACTTACTGTATCTTGCTAATGTTACATGCTAATACTATTGCTAATTATGTAGCATAGCTAATGCTAACACTTATTCCTCCTGATGTAAAATAAAAATAAAAAAAACACAGATCAATGCAAGGCCTTGGCTTAGAAATTAACTTACCCTCTTTTGCATTTCTTGTAGATTTTCCCAATGGTGTCCTGTTGCATGCCATACTTTTCAGAAATCTGAGAAAGGATCAAACGAAAGATGAGTGTCACTGTCAACTCTACAGTATCTTCTCCTGCTTGATGGATGAGATGCTTGGAGGATGACAACACAAGGTTGGGTAAGGAAGGAATAAGTACCATGAATGTACTACCTACCGTTTGTCTTAGGCCTTTCAGGGTTGGGCTGCTGAGCATGAGCGCATCAAACACTTCCTCTGACTCTGTTCTCACGTACAGGAGCACTGCAAAACAAGAAAACAGAATACTTCAGGTTGTGTGTGTGCCAGACAAGGACCACAGCATTGCTTTGTTTTGCATATTGACCACTCATTATTCTTTGCCTCATACTGTATGTATTATCTGTACAACAGGCTTGGGTTTGGCCAATTCCATTTCAATTCAGTCAATTTAGGAAGTGCACTGTATTTTCAATTCAAGAATTCTTCTTTACCTCTCTGTTGCTCCTCGCATCTGGCCTGCTTGCTTGGTGGTGGGCTACCACTGCTCTGTTCCAGTCTATCTGGGTACGGTCTCTTCAGTGAGCTCTTTTCAACCTCCTCCAATGTTGTGGGGGGTGCCTACACAAAGAAAAGGAGACAAGTAAAATGATTAGGTACAAATCCTCCGTATCATTTATTGCTTAATTTCCCATCCCAGTCATTGTATGGTTGTAACAGCCATGAGTAGGAATGTTATTATCATGAATCTGTAGATATGCACATGAATGGTGAAACAGATGCAGATAGATAAAAAGGTTCCAGACCTGTCTATCTAAATGATCAGAGATGTTCGTTTCACAACCTGTCAGTGAGTCACATTGTATATTATAGGACAGAACATTTCCAGACTATTTTACTAGTCGAGATAATGTTAATGTCTCTCCGCTCTAAAGATGCTGAACTTTTCTACAAAAGTTATCTAAGACATATTATCTTTGACAGATGGAATGATTTATGGTACTCAAGTCTTGAAAATCCCCCCACCTCCAAAATGCAAGTTACCCCCTTCCCCTTTAGCCTAAAATTAGGTCTCATCTCTACCTTACTTTTCTCTCTTAAAGCCGTGAAAATGTATGCACTCTATGTTCTGTCTAGTAAGTGTGTGTTCATTAACACTAGGGAAATAATGCTGTAATGGGCTAGCATGCAGACCTTATTAGGCAGACTGAGCACACACACACACACACTCTCTCCCTCCCCACTTCTTAAAGCCCAGACTGTGGGAACTAAAGGCCTGTCAGAACAGCAGCCCTTACCACCTCCACTGGCTTGTGTCAACAACACTGAAAAGGAGGGCTTGTGTGTGTGTGTATGCCAGGTGTGTGTGTGTGTCTTTGTCTCAGCCCCCGCAGGTTAATCCGTGTGTCAGTCACACTTGAGTCGAGTTTCGAGTCGAGGAAACTGAACGGCCCACCAATTAGATCGTCTGATCTCGGCGTCTGTCTCTCCTCACTCTCCCTGACACTCTCCCCATCCCAACCCACTTTTCCCACAGCAGTTTTTCCCACAACATTTTTTCCCACACTATCCCTTTTTTCCCCTCTGTGCGCCACAGCCTGGAGCTACAGTCCAGGGATAGCAGGGAACATGACTCAACTCACTGTTGTGGTGGTGAACTCCAAGATCCCTCAATCCCAGAAAGAGAGAGAGAGAAGAAAGGAAGGAAAATAAAGGGGGAGAGTGGATAAGGGATGGGGGGAACCTACCAGGCCGCAGCGCTGCATGTTGGAGAGGTGTATCTCTGGGATGAAGAGGACAGGGTTGGTGACGTGGTCCTCCAGGGTTTTGAAGAAGGTGCTGTCACTTCCCATTGAGCTGGACACTACTGACTTGTTGGCTGAGGAGGGAGAGGAGCACACTGGGTTAGAATTGGCATTATAGACTGGCCTAAGATATAAAGAGCTGGTTTTCCGGGTGGCTCTTTAGTCTAGGAGTAGGGTTTACCTGAGTCTAGGAAACTGGCTCCATGACATTATAATGCACCACTAGCTGTGATACTGAATTCTTCTCTTTAAGAAAGAATAGGCCATTATTCATACAAATGGGACTAAATCCCAAAATTATAATTTTGTTAGAAACCCATGAGGTGTTAAATTACAAACACAGACTGAAAATGCAGGATTTATTTCCTGCTTAGGTTAGTGTCTGGTTCCACTGCTGATCTAATCAAAGTACATTTTCAGTCACGTAATGGAGTTGAGTTGGACTTGGGAAGGCCAAGCTTCATGATAAAAACAAATTGATGAAAGATACCCAAACTGTAATTAAATGACTTATTTGCATGTGCTGACACACAACATGATGTATTGGTGTAAGATGTCCCCTGGGTTTACATCCGTCATTGGGTTAGTGTTTGTTGGTGGATGTAGGTTGTCATTATTTTAGTAATAAGAGCCTGAGGTACACTTACTGTTGCTTGAGTCGATGACTGTCTTGACCCTCCTCTTGCTCCTCTTCCTCTCCTCATCCCTCATCTTCCTCTCTGCACCCTGAGGAGAAAGATACAGACATACATGGTCACAACTCTACTCTGACACTTTTACCCGTCATTTAACTAATGAGTCGTCCATACAACAGGTGCATTTCTTTGAAAACAAACAAAAAAACAAATAAATCCGTTTTTATGTCATGTATGAGTTAGCCTAGCTAGCACTGTGGATAGAGATCTTTACTGACCTTATCGCAGAAGATTTTGACCTGGCAGGCCGCTCTGTGGATGAGGCGGTTGGTGCCGGTGCTGAAATCATAGGTGTCGATCTGGAGGTTGAGAGGAAGCCCCTTCACTCCCTTCTGAGAGGAGAAGTCTGTGCTCAGAGAGTTAATGCCAATGTACACCTGGAGAAGAGAGAAGAAGAGGGTTAACAGGATATCAGACAACAGTTGAATTGGAGAACTTTCTAGAACTGTTTTGCTGCCCTGTAGTGCTTTCCTGCAGTCAAATGGCCTAGTGGCCTCATGGGTGAAATGTTATTAATATTCTTTATAATTTCATAAAACATCATTTAAAAAAAGCAGCAGAAAATCAAACGGTTTTGTTATATTTCAGTCTTCTCTGATGACTATAAAGTGTAATATTGGCACACAAACTCAACATTGAATACATTTCCACTCTATATCTGACATGGTACAGGTGTCTTCTTTTTTGTAAGCCCATAACCATGTTTGAGGTGTATACTTTAGTTTCATTGTAAATGTGTTTAAGACTACCAAGAAACACTGTGTGACCCTGATTTAGCCCACTGCAGTAAAAGGTTAAAGCTCCTTGCACAGTAATTGGAACCTTAAAAATCAATAAAGCGTTGACACAATTCGCAATTGTTCTACAGATTAATTTTTTACAAAACAAACACTAGGAGTCTATGGACACGTGGTGTAATGACTCCTTTCTGGATTGGCAACCCCCTCCAATGTGGACAAATGTACAGACGTACAGTATAGCAGAAAAGTCTAGAATGTTTCCACTGGTTGTGTCTTGGTAAGGTTTTAGGATATGAGAGGCACTGATTTGAACAGACTATTGTGAGGGGCCTGGAGTGGAAAGGGATGCTTGTGACAACAGGTGTTAATTAAAAGGAGCTTTTCTCTCTCATTCCTTCCAACCCGTCCTTTCCCTTCTCTCTCTCTTTCTCGTTCCCTCTTTTTCTCTCCCTCTCCTGCAGTGAGTTTTGTTGCCCCACCCCTATGCCCTGGGGGGCAGTGAGCAGATTGCAGTAAGCGCTCTCGACGTGACGCTCTTGCCTTGTGGTGACAGGCGCACCGGGGCAGCCACATGCCAGGGATTCCTCCCCTCCCAACCCTCAGCGCTCCTTCATCGCCCCATTTCAGCTCAATGGGTAGCGTGGCTAGGTAAATAATAGGGGTGCGCCAAGCGTTACGACTTTATCTGTGTGTGTGCCAGTGTGCGTGTTTTCCACTGCTGCTCCAGTTTCCTCACTGCTCTTACCTTAGCATCCTCATTGGGGTTCCAGATGAAGGACAGAGCGTTGAAGGCCACCTCTTCCACGTGGCTGATGCCACTGAAGACCTCTTTGTAGTCAGCTAGAAGATAAATAGAAAGATATTATTGATTTAGTTCAGAAAAACATTTCTGGAACGATTGGAATAGTGATTGTCTTTCATTGAAGCGGTTATCTGTTCTGAAAAGACACAGGCTTACGAAAAGCAACAACAAAAACAACAACTGATAAAAAATCTTCCAGTCATTGGCATTTGTTGTTGTAGATGTTGACCTATGGCATTTCTCCATGACATTCTTCAGAGAAGACAACGGGAAATTCATGTCACTGTCTGTTTCTATACTATGCATGTGTTTGTGTGTAGACGGTCAAAGCTGTGGTGCCATACCGATGTCAATGACCCTCTGCTTAACGGTCGGCTGCCGTGCGTGCCAGTGATTCCAGCACCTCAGCTGGATCTCTGCGCTCTTGTCGTTCTCAAACACCGCCATGACCACCGTCTGGAGAAAGAGAACCATAAAAGAAAGAAAGAAAGAAAGAAAGAAAGAAAGAGAGAGAGAGAGAGAGAGAGAGAGAGAGAGAGAGAGAGAGAGAGAGAGAGAGAGAGAGAAGGGCCATCAGACAAGGTACATTTTGTGTAGGTTATACGTATTTGTGGGTGTGTCGTCGACTTTGAGAAAGGCACGCAACTGGGCACGTTTCATTCAGACATCAGCCCCTGCATTCATCATTTTAAATCCCCAATTCTCTCCTGCCATTATCACCAGCTATTAGCAGGGCTTGTGTGTGTGCTCTCTTTTCACTTGACAAAAGAGAGTGTTGTCACCCAGCCCTTTGGCACCACACCTCTCCCCCTGTTCTCCTTCTGACTTAGTCACTAAGGACTCAGGGCCTGACTAACTGGCTGACATGCATTGGGTTTGGCCCCGCCAGACACCAGTCGAAATATGCAATGGCCCGAGAACTGAGCCTGGCGGAACTCCAAAACCGAAACAGCTCATCACAGGGCGAGAGAACAAGTTTCCCACCCCGATCCACCACGACTTTGTTCAGATAGTCAACAATGGAGAACCAAGATAATTTTTTTCGGGAGATTCCTAAGGAACAGACATTCACTGGGGTTGTGTCAGACAGAACATCCTATGGGTAAAGGAAATGTTATTGGGTGATGTCATCAAAGCTTGACTTACCTTGACTTTGTTGGAGATCAGGCTGGCTGAGCTGTCCACCCCTTGAAGGGAGATGGGGTAGAACTGGCCCTTGTTGAGGTAAACCATGGGCAGCTCGGATGACTTGTGCTGGGTGGCTTGAGGGGCTCCCAGAATGAACTGGAAATCATTCCTGGAGACAGAAAATAACAGAGAAGAATGTTAATGGCCAGCATTATGCTTTGCTTTGCCATTGGAATTTTACCGCCATTGCTTTATGAGTTATACACAGCTCAATTATATTAATTATCTTTAGCCTAATAAGCATTAGCGATACTGGGCGTAGTTCAGTGTTCAAGCTGACATGATGACTTTGAAGTCATCACACAGGTGTTCTAATTTGATCTGATTCCCGGGGCAAATAGCTACCTGTATCTCTCTGGAGGGGATTTGGTGTAAGAGTCAGAGTAGACTGGGCTGTGCTGCTCGGCAAAGGGATCGCTGTAGGGTAGAGCCTGTTTCAGGGCAACACAAGAAAAAAAGTGATGAGAAGATGGAATATGAAAAGTAGAAAAAGAAAGAGAGAGATGGAGGGAGGGCAACTAGAAGTGAAGGGGAGATGAGACGTTGCCAGAGATGAAAATGTACAAACGACAACACCAGTTGTGATGTAGACAAAAAAAAAAGATGGCTGCTCTTCTTGGGGCTGTAAACTTACCTCAGTAGTGGCCTCAGGGAAGGCTGTCTCTGCGGGCCACTTCTGGGAGAGCAAGGAGTCGAAGATGTTGTTGATGACCTGCTTGTCATAGGTGTCGGCACTGGGGGTGAGGGGGAGAGGGTTTTGGGGGACAGAGGGGGGACAGAGGGATATAAGCTTGCTGTTCAGCTCCAGCGCCTCCTGGGGGTGGCTGGAGGAAATGTTCTCGGACAGCAGCTTCATAATGTTGGCTGGCGTCTCCAGGGAGACCAGCTCGGGGGAGGAGCCAATCATAGTCCTGGATTGGGGGGAGGGGGAGGAGTTGAGATACAGGACCAACCCAATTTGACCACCCCTTTGATTGACACTCAATAAAATCAATGGGGTTGTCATGTACTCTTGTGAGAAACACCGATTGTCAATAGTACTGCCCTTCCTTCAAATAAACTCCAGCTCTTTTATACAGTAGCACATACAGCAGCACACAATTAAAGACTGTACAAAAAATGTGTCAAAGTCAATAAAACATGAATAAAGCCAGTTTAGTTCTCAGAGTCCACTGAGCACACAGTGCTACTGAAAGTGAACTAAACAGAGCTGGGCAGGAACTGTTTACCGCCTAATCCCGAAATGTTTTCTCTCCTTATATGAGTTTCTCTGTTGGACTGGCTGCTGTGTTTGACGGGACAACAGCATGCCCCACCGACGGCCATTTTTCAACCCAGACAAAAGAGAGGGTGAGAGAGCGGCAGAGCTGGGGCTGCTTCTCCTCCTTTGTGAGTCAGAGTGTTGTTCGGGGGGGGGGAGGAGGATGATGAATAGGAGGAGGAGGTGTACCACAGCCCATAATCCCTTGGGGCTCTGTTTGACATGGGGATTAGCCACCAGCTCACCCAACTCTAACCTCACCAAAGCCCTGCCTCTACCGCTTGACTCCATGTCAATGGGCTTGACTTCATGACATGGGAACTCTTAATACCACCCGGCAACCACCTAAAATCCCTTTACCCCCTTCTCGTTCCCATAAGCACACCCCTTTAGTGTCTGCCTCTCTCCCTAGATTGACAGGTGGCTATCTCAATCAAGTCCATGCTCTTGGTAGTGTTAACAATTGCTCCGATGTCAATCTTACCTCTCTGATGGCTTGTACATACTGCTGCCTCGGCTGCATGCAACCATTTTCTGTTCTTTGGGTGTCTGTGAAAAGTAAAACAACAACCGTGAGTATTGATACAGCACAATACCTATAAATAGGACTCAGAGTTGAACTTAAACAGGAGGCATAACACACAGACACACACACAGTTACCTTGCACTGGTCGTATGTGAGTAGGCTGTCTGTGTAGGCCCAGGAGTCCATGATGTAGTTATTGTAGCGCTGGTAGTTGAAGCTCTCGTTCTGAAGGACCAGTCCCAGAGTCCTGCAGCAAACAGACCAGGAGAAACATCACATTAATAAACTTACATTATAGATTTATTACAGATCAAAATGGTAGGCTTCCCATTCAGAAAGGGGCATTACAGTGAAGGATTTAGTAATTCAATAGAGAATCCCAATACAGATGTTACAATAGAGAATCCCGGTCTAGAGTTTCACCACTACACTGTTATGTAATTCAATGCATTACACGTTGTTATTAACCAGCCCCTCTAACACATTCGGGGGATACCGGTTTCTCTTTCCCCATTGTGTGTTGTACCCCCTGGGTTAGTGTCAACACAGCCTATGACAGGCCAGTTTAAATCATGAGTCGGCTTTAAATTCACAGCATAGTGGAGGGACGAGAGAGAGAGAGAGAGAGAGAGAGAGAGAGAGAGAGAGAGAGAGAGAGAGAGAGAGAGAGAGAGAGAGTAAAATATAACATGGAGAAACCCGACACACACTTTTCTAAAAACACACCTTTCACATGGGGGTCTCATTACACAATGTAGAGAGAGAGAGAGAATGGGGGCCTGAGTGCCTGATTTCTCACCCTCTCTCTGGAAGTCTAACTGACTCACACTACTGTACAACAGAAGATGATTAAACAAGTCAACGCTTGCATCATTTTCTATTCTGGCACTCAGCAGAAAAGAACTCCACTACATCCCCCCTCTGTTGTTGACTGTCTCCGTGAAATGAAAACTTGGATGAGCAAGTTTTTAAAACTAAACGACGACAAAACAGAAATCATGCTCATGGAACCACAACTCCCTCATCAGGAAACTGGGTCAACTCAACATGACAATGGCTGCACCATCCACTCCAACTCCACAGTCAGGAATCTTGGTGTTATATTTGACCACACTCTGTCATTTCAATCCCACATTCGGAACACCACCAAGTCAGCCTTCTTCCACCTCAAAAACATCTCACGACTCAGACCCTCTCTCATTGACCCCACTGTTGAAACCCTCATGTACACTTTTGCAACGCCATTCTCTACGGACTCCCCGCCAAAACACAGGACAGACTTCAACATATCAAAATTCAGCATCACACCACACCAGACCTTGGTACCACATCACCCTCAACTCCACTGGTTCCCAGTTCACATCAAGATCACATTCAAATTGCTCATGCTCACCTACAAAGCACTCAATGGACTGGCGCCCACATACCATACTGACCTCCTCCACCCCTACACTCCCACCTGTTCACTGCGCTCCTCTGACACTGGCCTCCTCACCATCCCTCGCACCGGGCTTTTAGCAGTGCAACTCTGGAACTCCCTCCCTCTCCATGTCAGAACCTCACAATCCATACACAAATTCAAGTCCACACTAAAGACACAACTCTTCACACAGGCTAACCCGGATTCTCTATCGTCTTAGCTTTTATTCTCTATCTAGTTCACTTCCTGTCCTTGTGTTTAGTGTATTTTTATATACTTACTTATTTTAATGTGGGATTTTAACTATTTTTATCCTGCTGATTTTCTTATGTATGTAAAGTGACTTTGGGTGTCGTTAAAAGCGTTTACAATCAAATGTATTAATACAAGTCCAAACACATTCCCCTTAAATAACACATTCTAGCCTGAAACACCAACTCGAACCCCATGAAACATAGCATGTCACAGAAAAAGTTGTCAACTTACTCAATCTCTTTGGTCATGACTCCTTTCCAAGACAGCAGAGTTCAGGTTTCTTTTGGTAAAGTCTCCTCTAGTGTGTTTGTGTGTGATTGTGAAAAGCTGTCAGTCAGTCTTAGCAGAGCAAAGCAGACTTGTCCCGCTGAGTGAGCTTGTTTGATTCCTGTCCACACCGGCTCCCCACATTTATTTCATGCTAACAGGTAGCTTTCCTCACTCGCACCTGATTGGCCGAGGGCTCTGGAGACAGGTGCCTGATAGGACAGGTGTAGATGGGTTAACTGTTTCAGTGCTGGTGAGAAACCAGGTGTGAGTGGTGGGTACTTAGCAGGACAATGCTGGGCAGTGTTTCACACATCTCATTAAGCGTTAAAGAAAAGAGTGAGATTGGCTTCTCCAAGGTGTGAAATGCTTCTTATTTAGAGTGAGAAACCAAAGAGTTTTTGCAGGAACTAGGCTTTAAAATGGTAATGAAAATTCAGTATCATTATTTTCTCTCTCTGAGTCTACAGTGTTGAGAAATTTCAATTGGTGGTTTTGGTGCCCTTATTTGCTGGGATCAGTGTTTGTAATTGTTATTGGCAAACTATTTGATGGGAGTAGTTGAGAGTAGTGGTTCGATACTTTATATTTGGGTAGGATTTGTAAGGATGTGTTACATTGCATATTGAATTATCCACAAGAGGCACAAAATAAAGAGGATAATATATTCCCTACAAAGAAACACATTTTCATGTGTTTAATGAGGATAAGTGGATTTCTGCAATAGACAAAAAACATTTGCTGATTTACATTTTTAAGAATTAGATTAGGATTTTTTCTGGTTTGGATTTTGCATTTCGATATAGATAAACCTCAAATATGTATTTCTTTCAAATCTGGAAAGAAATCAGAGTGAGAGTTCATCATTCTCAAAGGCAATACATCTTTACATATTTCACGTTTAATATGAAATATCACAAACATATATGATTGTATTTGAATGTAGTTTATTTCTTTAGGCTTATTACCATGTGATTACAGAGGAAACTAAATGGCAGGTGAATAGGAAAGGGAGTCAGCCCATCCAGCACAGACCAGAATATACAAATTATATGATACCTTACTTTATTCACAATTATTTCACAATGAGTTATGAATGGACTCACCAACAGAAAGCTGTGTTACTTTAAGGATCTTATATTGTTATGATGATAATGCTCTTCCAGCCAATGTGCACTGGCCTCATCCACCCACACAGTTTTCGTTCCTTTCTGAAGAACCAAAAAGAAACACGTGCATCTCAGAGTAGGAGGGCTGATTTAGGATCAGTTGTGCCTTTTAGATCATAATAAATATGATTCCTTTTTTCAAACCTTTTTTTTAGCCAGGTATATCCTGTACAATATGAGTGTAGTTCCTGTATAGAACAATAAATGCACTCATGTGGTTTCCCTGTTGGAAGGATTCCCTTGCCTTTTTATAAAACCCTGCTTCTAGTTCTATAGTCCTTGCTTTGAATAGTGTGTGTCAGGGTTGGGGTCAGGGTCAATTCCATTTCAATTCAGTCAGAAGATGAACAAGGGCATTTCAATGAAGATGTTGACTACTTATTCAATCGATTTCAATCCACTTTCTGAATGGATGGAATTCAAATGGAATTGATCCCGACTCTGGTATAAACATGCCATTCTGACCATCTGTGCACTGAAGATATACAGCTCTGGAAAAAATTAAGAGACATTTACATTTTAGTCATTTAGCAGACGCTCTTATCCAGAGCAACTTACAGGAGCAATTAGGGTTAAGTGCCTTGCTCAAGGGCACATCAACGGATTCTTCACCAAGTCGGCTCGGGGATTAGAACCAGCAACCTTTCAGTTACAACGCTCTTAACCACTAAGCTACCTGCCGCCCCAGCAGAGACCACTACAAAAATATACGTTTCTCTGGTTTTACTATTTATAGGTATGTGTTTGGGTGAAATAAACATTTTTGTTTTATTCTATAAACTACTGACAACATTTCTCCCAAATTCCAAATAAAAATATTGTTATTTAGAGCATTTATTTGCAGAAAATGACAACTGGTCAAAATAACAAAAAAGATGCAGTGTTGTCAGACCTCGAATAATGCAAAGAAAATAAGTTCATGTTCATTTTTAAACAACACAATACTAATGTTTTAACTAAGGAAGAGTTCAGAATTCAATATTTGGTGGAATAACCCTGATTTTCAATCACAGCTTTCATGCGTCTTGGCATGCTCTCCACCAGTCTTTCACATTGATGTTGGGTGACTATGCCACTCCTGGCGCAAAAATTCAAGCAGCTCGGCTTTGTTTGATGGCTTGTGACCATCCATCTTCCTCTTGATCACATTCCAGAAGTTTTCAAATGGGGTTCAGGTCTGGAGATTGGGCTGGCCATGACAGGGTCTTGATCTGGTGGTCCTCCATCCACACCTTGATTGACCTGGCTGTGTGGCATGGCGCATTGTCCTGCTGGAAAAACCAATCCTCAGAGTTGGGGAACAATGTCAGAGCAAAAGGAAACAAGTTTTCTTCCAGGACAACCTTGTACGTGGCTTGATTCATGTGTCCTTCACAAAGACAAATCTGCCCGATTCCAGCATTGCTGAATCACCCCCAGATCATCACCGATCCTCCACCAAATTTCACAGTGGGTGCGAGACACTGTGGCTTGTAGGCCTCTCCAGGTCTCCATCTAACCATTAGACGACCAGGTGTTGGGCAAAGCTGAAAATTGGACTCATCAGAGAAGATGACCTTACTCCAGTACTCTACGGCCCAATCCTAATGATATTTTGCAAACCTCAGCCTGGCTCTTCTTTGCTTCTCATTGATGAAGGGCTTTTTTCTAGCTTTGCTCGACTTCAGCCCTGCCCCTAGGAGCCTGTTTCGTTTGCCATTCTTTTTGTAGGTCACTTGATGTCATTCTACGGTTGTTGAGTGACATTTGAATGAGTTGGCGGTCATCCCGGTCAGTAGAGAGTCGTTTTCGCCCTCTGCCGGTCTGTAGCTTTGTTGTCCCCAATGTCTGCTGCTTGACCTTGTTCTTATGAACCGGGATGGAAGCAATCTGACGCTCACTGTATCCCTCTGCCAGTAAAGCCAGAATTGAACCCTTCTTTTCCTTACTCAAAACTTTCCTTTTCAACTCTTTTGGCATGGTCAATAGTTATTTTTTTGATTAATATTACTTTTGAGGTACTATTAGCACTGTTTTTGCCATCCAGCTGGTCCTATTGCAAGAGGATAGTGATGACCACAGCAGTGGATTTTATACTTTTCCTTGTTAAATAAGATTTGATTCATGTGATCACCTAATCAGTACCTAATTCAGTAGAATGAGGTGTGCCTGTGTTGGAATTCAACAGACACTGGAATGGAATGGCTGTCATACATGTAGAGATGCTGATTTAAGAAATATTTGCAGTGGTCTCTTAATTTTTTCCAGAGCTGTATATATATTTAATGCATGCTTCTGTTCGGGTGTATACTATATGTGTGTGTGTGTCCCTCTGTCTGTGCACATGTATGCATGTGTGTGTGTATGTGTGCATGCGTGTTTGTGTGTGCGTGTGTGTGTATGTGTGTCTGTTTGTGTTTTCTGTTGCTGGGACCTCAGGGCATCTGGTGTGGGGACACATAAGGGCGTGTGCTCTGCGGCTTGCCCCCCCCCCCCCCCTCACGAAGCCCGAGGGCAAGTTGGATGTAAAAAACATCAAAAGAGAAAGAGAGAAAATGCACTTCGAGTGACACACCTCTGGGTTAAATACGGAAGACACATTCCAGTTGAATGCATTCAATTGTGAAACTGACTAGGTATTCCCTTTTCCTATATTAATGTAATCCTCATGAAGTCTTATTAGTTTAACTCATGAGGTCACACTTTTTCATCACTCTCGCTGGTTGAATTAGATTTCAGTTAAAACCATCACTTTCAAACATTGGACCAACTGTGTAATGACATTGAAGCACTGACTAATAATGGTCCGATTTTTTGAAGTGACTTATGTGAGGTTTCTGTACTAATTGCAATCCTCACTCTATCAGTGGAGGCTACTCAGAGGAGGAAGGGGAGGACCATCATTCTCAGTGAATTTAAGAATATTTTTTTTTAATGAAACATTGAAAAGTTATCCTTTTTAGATAAAACTATACTAAATATATTCACGTCATCAAATACCTGATTAAAACACACTGTTTTGCAATGAAGGTCTACAGTAGTCTCAACAACACACTTTAGGCTAGCACCGTGGTGTAGCCGGAGGATAGCTATTCCCCGTCCTCTTCTGGCTACATTGACTTCAATACAAAACCTAGGAGTCTCGTAGGCCTTACCCCTTCCATAGACCTACAGTACCAGTCAAAAGTTTGGACACACCTACTCATTCCAGGGTTTTCTTTATTTTTACAATTTTCTACATTGTAGAATAATAGTGAATACATCAAAACTATGAAATAACACATATGGAATCATGTAGTAACCAAAAAAGTGTTAAACAAATCAAAATATATTTTAGATTTTAGATTCTTCAAATAGCCACCCTTTGCCTTGATGACAGCTTTGCACACTCTTGGCATTCTCTCAACCAGCTTCATGAGGTAGTCACCTGGAATGCATTTCAATTAACAAGTGTGCCTTTTTAAAAGTTAAATTGTGGAATTTCTTTCCTTCTTAATGCGTTTGAGCTAATCAGTTGTGTTGTGACAAGGTAGGGGGGGGGGGTTTACAGAAGATAGCCCTGTTTGGTAAAATACCAACACATAATCACTCCGGACAGACACAAGCAAAAATTCAATACATAAATGTTGCAGCAGCCTAGGCTAAACCTAAACATTACAGATCTGACATGCTGTATAGGATGAAAACGGAAAGATTTTTCAGTCTGATCATCTGTAGGCTACTAATAATAGTAGCTGCATACAGCCTATGTGGCCTGTCCATCTATCTGGTCAGGGTAAACAATCTGGTAACGCTATGTATTTATAGTCCATTTATTTGTCAGGAGAAAATGTGAATGTGATTAATTTTGATTTATATTCAAACTTGGGCTGCCTAGGCTGCCTATACCTTTTCAATCCAAAATTATTAACTGGAATTAATCAATCAATA